AAAAATGGGGAGTACTTGAATGCCACTCGTGTTAAAAATTAACATGTCTGCGATGCATTTCTTAATTGTGAATGGTCAGTTGATTCTATAAATCTACATTACTGACTTTCCCTTTGAAAAGATATACGCCATCTGAAAGCAATAGAGCTATTCAAAATTTGTATAAATATATCTGAGGAAAGGTAATGAATAAGAGTAGCTGCATTACGTAATCTTCAATCGTGAAGCATTGGCTTAAGATTAAAAGTAACACTGAGGTTATTTAATTAAGGAATAATTACATTACATGTATGTTTCATTAGAATCCGTAAATTTGATTGGTTGACAACAATTGCAAGGCACTCCCATATCAAATATTATGTCCGTATCAAATACAACATCTATGACTGCACGTGCTATCCGTGACAATGTTAGCACAGTTTATCGCTATTTTAGGAAAATTTCCTTAATTGATCTTACTGACTGATAATTATAGATTATCGTTGATCATCTCAACGAGATTGATTTTCTCGCTTGAGCCGATAATTTTCATATCACTCGACTCCGCTGAGAAAGGAAATTATCAGTCAGTAAGATCAAAGGAAATTTTCGTAAAATAGCGATAATTTCCTTTCTAAGCGGAGTCGAGTGATATGAAAATTATCGCTAGAATCTAAGGGGGCACGTGCCGTTGCTAATGAAATTGACATGAAATTGACAACGTCGTCATAGGTAAAATAGCGATAAACAGATTATCATTGGTCATCTCAACTCGATTGCTTTTCTCGCTTTCGCCGTACCGGCTCAAGCGAGAAAATGAATCTCGTTGAGATGATCAACGATAATCTATAAGTATAGAAAAACAAACGAAAAGCTTGATATAACTATTTAATTTCATGGTTGTAGCATTAAAATGTAATCATAAGAATTGAATGCTTCTTTTTATAATTTTTTAGAGGTGTAAAAGCATAAACCGAAGCATATTTTGTATGAATCGCAGAAGCGCTTCATATTAAAAATGTGCGCACGATCAACGATTTTACAACGAGTCCTTTTCCTCATGTCTGAAAACTTTCGAGCAGCACGAAGATGAAAAACTTGTATATATATGGTGTTCTTTAAAAATATATTCTATTTTTTTTAGATAAGTAGAGTAATTATCTGATTATCCCGTATTATTTTGTATGAAGAAAAGACATTGATAACTGTTCATGATTTTGATTTTGGTACACTCCCAAATGCTGTTTACATTCAGATTTTTTTTCTGAGCTGTGAAGTGACCAGTAATATTTTCATGAATAATTGTGCTGACTGGATGTTTGGACAAATATGAACGACAAAGACTTTCATTGGATTGCAAACATAAAACCTGTAACTGTTCATGTAAATATACACGGGCGGGTAAAGAGGTTTGGTGGCGAAATTGAACAGCAGCATACGAGAGCTGTTCCTTTGCTTTTGTATTTTTTTTTATGTGCATGTCATGGTTTCAAGATTGATACACAGTAGCCTTTCTTTTCCATTGTGCTAAAATTTGAAAGGATAATAAATGACAGTTTTTATATAACATTATGCGTTTTTCAAACTCAAGCTTAAGCTCATGCACAATTGAAATTCGAAAAAAATATTAAAATGCATATTATATCATCTTAAGCTTCTCATTTCACCTTTTCCCCCCCCCGAGACGAAAAAAAATGTTTTGTATTGGATATAAAATTGTTCTAAACCTGCAATTAAAAATCACGATGCCATGAAAATTTGACTCACTTATACAGTGCACCGTATAAATGAGGGTCTGGATTGGGAGGAGGGGGTCCTTCAGTGTTCTGTATTTTATATTTTTCTATGTCACTTTTCTTTATTCCTTTTATTTTTTGTCCATTGTTCTCTATCCTTTATATTTAAGCACCCTTTTCTTCTCTATTCTTCATTTTTGTCCTGTTTTCCCTGTATGCTTTATTTTGTTTGACCAATTTTTCTGCATATTTGACTATTCTCTATTCTGTTAACTCCATCCAGACCCTTATAAATGACCCGTTTTTATTGTATGGTCAATCTACTCCCATCTAAATTACAATTTGTCTACATTGTTTCACATATTTGCATGACAAATTCCTATAAAACATTGCAAATTACTATATATGATATAATAAAAATTCAGTATCTTGTATGTCTATCATACCCACACACAATAAATTAGTTTTACTGTCAAAAATGTAATTTATAAACACATTTAGAACAAAATAATGGCATTAGATGCACAATCAAAGATTACTGATTTAAAAGATTATTTCATGCAATTTCACGGTTGCAAGTTTAGGTAGAAATGTCTTTGATATATAATGCGAACAAGTACTCAAGGTTCACTTAAATACAATGATGGAAATAATAGGCGTTTAATAAAATACCATTCGATAATGCAATATATAGACCGTTGAGTTCTATAAATCCAATTAAAATTGTTAAAAAAATCCACTCAGACGGTATTTTTCATCCACCGATCTATTAATATTGTAATGTCGTACATAAAACTAAAACATTAAAAAATTGTATATTTTAAATCGGAATGGTTCTTACATTTTTTAACAGCAAGAAATTCAGGCTAATATACTAACTAATACGATTAACATCATGAAAATCCTTTCTTCCGATGATCTGACGATTTTAAATACTAACTGGCCTCTTACAAATATTGTCGATTTAATTAGATTTCAAATTAAGAAATTATGAAACATGTTAGGAGTGTTGTTTTTGACTTTTGTAAAATATAAATATTAAACCAACAGTTGACTAAGCAGGCTTCCTGTAGAAGCGATCATATTTTGACCCTGCTTTCAAAATTATTAGCTGTCTTTTATTTACTTGTTTAAGGGAGTGGTTATCATGTCGGTAGCTAGATTGGGCATTTTTTTTTATTGTGGTTTATTTTTCACGAAATATTTTCTTTATAGGTAACCGCGTGGTGAGCACACGTTTTTTTTTTTAACTCCACCACATTTATACTTGTACCCAGTCGGACAATCAGTATAAAAATAAGGAGATGTGGTATGATTTGCCAATGACACAACTATCCACAAGAATTAAAATGAAGTGGATGTAAACAATTATAGGTCACCGTACGGCCTTCAACAATGAGAAAAAAATCCATACCATTTATTGTTAGTTGTTGTATATCTTCGATCGACTGATTTTCCCCCATTGTAGCCAAGAGTTGTTGGTTTATGTGGTCTGTTGTACCGCCCAATATATTTTGGTAATTCCTGTTCTCCTTATAATATATTATGCATATTTAACAACTCATTCCATCTTTCTGATTGACAATGCTTTTTACAAAATATTTAGTAATTTGTGAAAAAGTTTGCCTGTTAGGTTTCTTGAATGGATTCTTTTTATTTTACAATCCATCACAGGGAGGCGTATTTTCACTTTAAGACTGATAAATCTGTCTCGGATCTGATCGATATAAGATCATGTATATATTTGTTTTTAAAATTGTTTTACGTTTATTATACATTCTTACGTCATAATATTGCATTAATTTATATGTAAAAAACAAAACCACATTAACGTTTAATTTAAATACATGGTGACAACAGACAGTATGAATTCCACTGTAGGCCATTAGTCTTGATCTGTCCCTTGAGCGTAAGTATCAAGCCAGGGGACAGCATTCGTCAGTTCTATTTCACTTTATACAATTCTATTCGTTGAAATACAAATTGTAATCACTTAGCCTAGATGGACTTTTCAAAATCTTAATTATATTGTATAGGATTGCGAACAAGAAAATCCGACCAAAGTCTCACGGTCAATTCATTCACTCCATTAACTGTTTTTTCCAACCATGTTAATATTTCTTGAATAAAAGAACTAAAGGGTCGCTATTTGAAAAATCAGTAAATATTCAGAAATTATGTGTCAAAGTTCCTATGTGATAAGTTATACTTTAGACAAACAACACTAAAACAGGCAACGCAATTAAAAAAATTGATTTTAAACAATAAATTTCGATTTATAGATTTCAAACGGATTATCACGCAAGATAAATTAATTCTGCAAGGATCCAACTGTTTCCAATAAAACAACTTTTTGTTCAACTCGTGTCAAAAAATTACTAACTTGTATCACGATCGGGAGTCACGTGCAGTATTGTTTGCACCAGCATTATACAGTTGCAAAATAGCGGAAGCCAATAAAGTTTAGTTGAAAAGCATACACTATCTATGATTCTGCAACTTTAATATTTCCGCTTACTTCTACATAAAGAGAGGCAGAAGATGCCAAAGGGGCAGTAAACAAATAAAAAGTGGAAGAAAAACAGACAACACCATGGCTACAATGAAAAACGACAAAAAGACCCAAAAAAAAACAAGAATCTGTACAAAACACTACATAGAAAAGTAAAGACTGGGCAACATTACCCTATAAAAAAACGGGGGTGATCGTATCGAAAAATAAGACTGAAAGAGACAAATTACCATGGAGTATTTTTAGAAAGCTTAAAGGATACCAATTCAGTTGTTAAGGACGAAATACGGATAAAAAGTGCAGAGGATGGTATAATTTTATACAAATATATTGTCGGCACATTCAGTCAAGTATAGTGGTCTATAGATTTGTTCTGTTCATTCCATTTTGCTTATTTGTTTACATAATGAATTAACTACTGTATTTTACCAATTCTGTGGTTCCATATTAGATCGATGAATAGTATTTATTCAACTGATTCCTCTTCATTTTATTGTATCATCAGCTCAGTATAGTTTCTAAAACTTTAAAATGCTTTCTTACTGACATTATTCATAACTAATCTTTATTCAATGCTTCGTTCGAAATCATTATGAAACTAAGGTTCCAACTCCCTCAGGCAAAGTTGACCTTGCTTAGATGAATTTGGCTCGGCTGTTTAGGTCTTGACGTGTTTCGGCACTTCTATATCTTGGCTTTCAATGTTTTGTCTTAGAGTGTTCCTAATGAAGGTAAATATAGAAAACGCTTTGGACGCATACAATTTAAAAATTATTTTCATTTATTGGAGTTATCCCATAAGATAACTAATTTAAAGACTTCTTAAATTTTTTTTCTTGTGCATTCTAGATAGATACTAAGATAGTAAGTGTACACAAAAATGAAAAGCTCAATACATGTAACGACAATACACCATATTTATATCGTCCCTTAGGCCAATGAACATTTTGCTATAGCCTGAGTGTTATTAAACAAATTTCTCTCAAATTAGCATTTTTTTTTCATTAAGTTGAATGTCTGTAATGTCACTGCTCTTAATGTTTTCCATCGAACAATTCAAACTGGTTCTAAATATTGGTCATTGTGTAACTCGTCATAAACATTGTCTGGTGATCTCATTCCGATTTCATCATATTTTCTGCAAAAACAAAAGTACAATAATTTATTTTTAATTGACGTACACAATGTACTATGATACCAACTTAACTGATATCGACTGAAAAGATAAGATTGCAATACAAACATTTTATATTGGATCGATGCTTTGTGCTGAACCACACTGAATCCAACAACAAGTACACAGAAGACTTAAATATCATCAAAATACAGGACATGTTGATCGACAATATATTTGTAAGGTTTGATTGATTCATATTTCAACAAAAAGTCGGTATTTCAATTGATACTAATTGTGCACACCTATAGGCAGACTTGTTAAAGGAGAATTAAATTATACAAATTTTCACTAAGACAAACAGAAAACGTATCATGCTCGGATATACTGATATCCTGTCACTCAAAAATCCACATTTCAACAAGTGCATGCTTACATTTCACATATCCAACTTCCTAGTGAAGGTTTGCTTCATATTTAGACTAGATATTTGCGTTGTTGAAATTGACATAAAAGGACGTGTTAAAACTTGTTAATGACGAATCTACGAGATTTCAGTTCTTCCATTACTTCCCACGAATCAATAGCAACAAAAAATCTGTACAATCGTATGACTTATAAATATCCCAATTGATACGTTACGGGAGTAAATGTTTACATTTTCATTAACAGGGTCATGATTCTAACGCAAAAACTGCTTTAACAGGGTAGGGGAAGCCTTAAATCGACAATACACATTTTAAGTTCAGTCACGAATTATATGACAAGTACAATGCATCTATGTTTTGAATCTCGAGACATGTCGTAGATCTTTTCAGATACCAGAATAGTCGTCTGATAACTAAAATTTCCTATTGTGACATTTTGATCTAGTATATACATTCGCATGTTGGTTGATGCATGCATACCAGGAGACACTTATCCTTTCGACGTATCCGGTGTCGCTTCTTTTTGGAGTTCTTGCAATTACCTAAGTTTGTTTGTTTGTATGTTTTTATCTTGGTTTGTAGATTCAAATAGGATTTACAAGATTTGAACATCGGTAAACTACGGCAGAGTATCTGTCAGGCAAAGTTTTACGTTGTCATTTTGCTTTTTGAAATCTAATGCAGGAGGTATTATCCAAACCATTATTTGGCTCCAGAAATTGCTAAAAGTATTTAATCCTTTCTAACATATTTAATTTGATTGTTAATAAGTAGGATTGTATAGTCTGTTATTCTAATGCAGAAATGTCATAAGTGATTACACTGTTATCCCATAAACATTTCATAATTGGCATTCATGACTTTCTCAGTGTTTCGGCACTGACATGAACATACGGATATTGTTTTAATAAAATTTGCTGTTATAAAACTTGGGTAATCATTTTAAATTAAGGAAGTATCTCCCTCATGCATACTGTAGTTCTAATTCCATGTCAACATTTGGCATCACCGGAAGACATTAATTGTCAAAATACGCATCTGGAGCAGAAAAAATTGTACCGTTAGTATTATAAATATAATTATTGTTTAAAAGTGATAACGAACTACTTCCTATTTTACTCATATCAACATTTGTTGCATATTAAGATACGCTTTTCTGTCAAATATCGTAAACCGATCAAGAAGAGACAAATCGAGGTATCAAACAAAAACTGAGGGAATTGCATGAACTCCAAATGAAGCGAGAAGGGTGCGTCGACAGAGTAAGCGTTAACTGCTATATACATGCATCACCCGTCACACTCAGTCAAAATGTCACAATCGGGAATAGGACACAATATGTAAAAATAACAATATCCAGACGACTATATTGGTAAATGAAGATCTTAGACCGCGAAAACATGAATTTAAGGCCGTTCCTCATATTAATGTGCTCAAAAAATTTTACTTTTTAAATTTACTGTTAAATGACATAAGTCTGGTACGTAAGACGAATATTCAAATGTTTTTTTCCCATGTCTGACAGCTCATATCAGAATATCTTTGATAAATTATTACTTTATACCTTTCTTTTACTCTCTTTATCTTCTAAAATACACAATGAATCAATCTCCTTTGAAGTATGAACATACACCACTGTAAATACATTCCTTTTTTCATTTTAGACTAAGCTAAACATCATCAATTATTACAAAACTATTTTGTTCTGTTATTCTTAGATACTGATATTATATATTACCTGGATGATTGTCTGCTTTCAATTGTATGTCCAGTAGAAAATCCTGAAAGATACAGAAATACTCAAACGTGGTTAAGAACGAGGAAGACGGACGCGGTTTGTTATAACGAAGACATTTTTTATAGCTTTTTTTATTTCAGGAAAAACTTGTGCAGACTGTTTGTGTTTGTGAAAATCTCTTCATTACTGTCATTTCGATATCAACGCAATTTAACAATTCTTAAAATTTCAGCATACCTTTTTGGTTTTAATCAGAATACTCTACCTGGATTACTACATTCAAATGTTCAAAAATAAATAAATATTAATAAATTATCTTTCGTTTATATATATTTTCAAAGTATATAAACAAAAAATGAAGTATCTTATTGGTATGAAAACTAAAAACTGGTTAAATGTACTACATGTATTACTAAAATCATGCATGTTAAAACGGGTATTTTAAAATAAGGGATATAGAAATATTCTTGGACAAGGTTCATTTCTTCATGTTTTTAATTACCAATTAATAATATTTACATTGCATGTATTTTTCATTACAATTCGTAAATTTGATTAGCTGACAACAATCGTGAGGCACTCCAATATCAAATTTTATTTCCGTATAAAATATAACAGCTATGTCTGCACGTGCTATCCGTGACAATGTTAAAAAAAATGCATAGAAAAACAAGCGAAAAGCATGATAAAACTTTTAGGATTTTATGTTTGTAGTATAAAAAAGATTATAAGAATTGAAAGTTTTTTCTTTATAACTTTACAAGGATGTAAAAGAGTTTATAGAATGAAGCGCAGAACAAAATGTGCTTCGGTCAACGCTTTTACACCCCAACTGAATTATAAAAAGAAGCATTCAATTATTAAATAAAACCCAACAAATGTATAAATATGAAAAATGCACTTAAATATTTTCTGACACTTGATGATCAAAAGTTGTATATCATTATTTATATTCGATACTAAGCCTTAAATAATAACCAAGATAAACATTTTAGACAATAATGTCATGTGATCAGTTGTAACCCCTAAAACTATGAAACGGTAATCTTTGAAATATGAAAATAAATTATACTTCCTATAAACAAGAAGTATCTTCGAAGGTTATTCAAATCATTTACTTTTTGCTCTCCAAAAAAAGGTATGTTGAAATTGGTGAATATTTTCTTGGAAAAGAAGAAAGGACATTCACTTCAACCTAGGGTAAGAACTAACCTTCATTTTGGTGTACTGGAATTCTTTGTTCTTGTGTCACCATATCCCTGTCACCTGTACCAAAATATCATTAGATCAAAAGGGTAGCAATATAAAAATAAGCAAGGCCATAAGTGGAATTTGTCTTTTAGCATAAGCTAAATACAAAGTCGAAAATGAAAATGACACTTAATGTGGAGCAGGATCTGCTTACCCTTCCGGAGCACCTGAGATCACCCCCAGTCCCCCAGTTTTTGGTGGGGTTCGTGTTGCTCAGTCTTTAGTTTTCTATGTTGTGTTTTGTGTACTATTGTTTGTCTGTTGGTTTTTTCTTTTTCAGCCATGGCGTTGTCAGTCTTTTTTCGACTTATGAGTACGAATGTCCCTCTGGTATCTTTCGCCTCTCTTTTTTTTAATAAATTTAGTGCTTCCGAAGCACTATTCGGGATTAACATTCATCATGAACGCCCAAACCCAAAAATTGAAGGTCAAGGATGTATACATATCTGGATACGTGAGGCGCTTTATGACCAAAACAATAAACGTTAATTGAAACAAGAATTCATGTTGTTTGTAAATTTGAATGCTTATTTATAAACATTTGATGTAGAAGAATCCACGTGTTTAGTTTATTTCCAGCAGATTCGTACAATGATTTGATTAGGGTTCACTGTTGAACAGAATCAATCCGTTACTTTTTAGGTAAAGTATGGTGTCGTGGGAAATTGACTTGTTGTCATTGATGTTTTGATTTAATAATGTGAAATTTAAACAAAAATGCAGACGTTACGTTTCTTTGTACATACATTTATACATTTACTGTCTTTTGAAGAGTTAAATATGTGATTTCATTGACTTTTGAAAAAAACCCATTGTATTCACTGAGGCCGATGGCCAATTTAACCCAAAATATCCGAGACAAGAGTTAGTAACTGTTTTATTCACATTCCGAGGGAAAACAACGTATTTATAGCAACTACTTACCGCAACCAATTGTACATTTAACATTCACCATAATCATATGCGTAAAGGCACGTGACGTATAGCGTGAATATCAATTGAATAGGCTGTTTTTAATCAAAATCTAATTCATATGAAAAAAGATTCTACTAAAATAATACCAATATTAATTAATTTACCTTGTTTTCTCAGCTTCACTATGAGAACCACAACAATGATGACAACAATTGCCAACAGAATCCCTAAAACAGCACCAACTATAGGGACAGCATTACTGCATTGTTTCATTGTTGAATTCTCTGTGTATCAGAATTAATGAGATGCTTTATAAAAGTGAAGAAAAATATTCATTCTATGACTCGCTTCATCTTTGGCTTTCTAATCTCCATAAACTTGAAGATTTAATCAGGAAATTACTTTAAATAACTACAATTAATACGAAATAAGAAAATGTGGCATGGTTGCCAATGAGACAACTTTCAAACAGAATCCAAATGAAGCAGATTAGAAAAATTAAGCATGTTTGAATAAGACTTGTTTTGCTACTATTCATTTACTAAACAATGTTTGATGTAGCTTCACGAATATGTATGTACTTAAATTAGTTGCAAAACGGAAAAAAAGTCTGAGGTTGATACTGAATCGTAAGTTTTTGGTGCAGTTTACCTAAAGTATAAATTACCTTTTTCTGGGCAAGAAATATTTGACGGTTTTATGTGTACGTCAATTACAGCTCGGTTGAAACGTCTATTGTCTGTCAACTCAGTAGCCTGTAAAAAATAAGAGAGAATCGAGGCGTCCAAATAGCACACGACAAGGCAAGATAGAAAAAATAAAATAATAACAACAAAGACATTTAACAATACACCTTATCGCTATTTGTCCGCCATTACTGGACATCACAAAGGTTCCCGAAAAACTTTTGACTTCACAATAGAAAATATATGACGCCACAAATGGAAAAGTGATTGTTGTATGACGTAAATAGTTCAAGAGGTGCAGATACTCGTGTCAAGCGGCGCAGATTTCCAAATAACGATAAGGTCTATAACGTCAGTATACATCAGTATGATAGTTCACAGCAGCAATCAGCTGCTCCGTTCAGAGAGTGTGAGGAAGATATAGCAAATGAAAATAGTCAGCTGCGATACAAAAAAAAATCTGGAGGCAACGAAATATTAACAAAAAAGTTATTTCATTCGGCTTTAAATACGTGATTTTATCATAGATGATGAATCCAATTTTTGTCATGTATTCTAATTGCTTGTAATTGCTGCATAAGAAATATAGAAGTAAGAGGAATGGGAAGAATCTTTTTGTACAATTAAGGTAAACTTTAGGCAGTTCAAATTCTAAAATTTTACAAGCCATATTCATCTTAATTGTCAGGATTCAGAATCGCCTTTTTAATTTATATATGTCGATATTCTACTATTATTGTTTACCTTTATTATGATTTTCAAACTATCAACGTCAATCCGACCAATAGGTTTAGTTTGCGATACAGTAGCAGTGGAAAATGTTCCAGAATTTGTCGTACTAAACAGTGTAAACTTGTCTTTAAATCCAGGAGGCAAAGCTGAATGAAAAAAAACAATATAATCAAGAAAATGTCAAGGGCGTTTGTTTGTAGGGGACGTTTCATCCCCATAACTTGAAACTTCCTTAGACCCGCTTGAGGACCGTAAGCGGTTCTTAAAATCTTTGTCAATTTCGCCGCCCCTACCTTCAAATCCCAGATCCGATTTAAATCTTTTCAATATCAAATCTAATATAATATTCACGATCTACATTTTAAAATTAAATCAATTCGACCTTTTCTATCCGTTGTTCTTATTCTGCATTTATGTAGCTGCTGAGTGTCACACCTTTGAACAAAGAAATGCACAGCTCATCCTAAACTAAATTAAATTTTAGCGATAAAGTCCATGTGCGCGCAGATATTCAACTAAATCAGCAGGGTTCATAATTTTTCCGATTTTAATAGACCGAACATGACTGATATAAAGCTCTGCATTTTGTCATTATTATATTCCAAACACATGTTGTGTTTGAAAAAGTCAAACATTCTAGGGTTGAGCACTCGCATACATGTTTAAAAAACCCGCAACATTCTGTAAGTACCTGTCCCGAGTCAGGAGCCTGTAATTCAATGATTATTCTTGATTTGCTGTCTGTAATATTTGTTTTTCGTTTTTTGATATGTCATAAATCCGGCTGTTGGTGTTTCGATTAATTTTTTTCACTTTTTTCTTTTGAAGTCTTGGATAAATTGCGTTTCTTTGAGAGTAGGTTTATCTCTGAGTTCATCTGCTTTGATAGTTATTTCATCTCTATCATCTCTAACTATTATGCCAAAACTAAAAACCTAAACTTTGCAACCAAATATTTTCTATTTTATGAATAATTTAGGAGTTTTGTTTAAATAAATCCGGATGTAACTATATCTGCCGTAGGAGTTACAATTCCTTATTTAGTAATACAACTTAAAATAAAACTGGACATGTAAAGAAATCATTTCATCCGTTCTTTTGCGTGTTTTAAATCATTTATCACCCAGCCTACTTACTGAGGGTGGTATAGCCTGTGTAGGAATTTTAATGTTTCGTTTTTCGTTTAATTTAATTACGAAACCAAAAGAAAAAGGACAAGAGACAAATTAATCAGACTTAGAAGACTTCTCCTTATATACAATATATTATGCAAATATCTATTAACAATTTTAAACGTTATAATACAAGAAAAGAGGAAAAGAGGAAAAAAGAAGGGGCGTGTTTGTGAACATACGTTACAACCTGTTCATGACATATGCAGGAACAGTTGTAACATGTATGCAGCAGCCGCAATGCATAATGGAGGATAAGCACGAGTTTGTATTTGTCTTATACACTTCTATACTTACTTTCTACAATGCTCAATTGTATACGAGCATTTAATGTGTCTTGGTCTCTAGCTTTTATGGAATCTATAATACTCTGGTATTCAGCTGCCCTTAAAATTAGCTGTGATGCCTAAGGAAAATCACTTGAATAAAAATCATGGGTACATATGGAATTTCCAGCTTGATTTGATAATCTTCCCTGTAGGTAACGTGGAATTTTCCGCATTTTGTGATTTTCTATATACAAATTTAATTTGATTATATTTCTTTATCGTCGTATTTTATGTAACTTTCTTTTTGTTGTACCCACATAATATGTTGGCAAAAGCAACTAACCTTATATGTATCGATATATTTTATTTTTGTGCAATATATGAGTTGAGTAGTAAACTTATGCAACAGCAGTTACCGATGTTCAAATCTCAAATCTCAGAAATCGATTATTAACATACAAATCAAGGTAACAAACAAAACTGATGGAATCGCATGAACTCCAAAAGGAGCAAGACTGGATACGTGGATAGTATAAGCGTCTCATGTTATACATGCATCATCGGCCATGCGATTACACACTCTATCAAAATGTCACAATCAGTAATAGAACAAAATTTGGTAAAATTACAGATCAGACAACTTTTCTGGTATCTAAAGATGTAAATAAACTCATCATAGATACCAGGAATGAAATTTTGTATTTGCGCCAGACGCGCTTAAGAGAGCGAAAACATGTCGCAAATGAGTTCAGAAACAGTCATATCGTATCGATCAATTAATTCAAGATAGTGACCACAAAACTCACGTATTGACGATTACAGTCGTTCGTCTCATAACTTTCTTGTAGCAGTTTTTGTATAAGGAGCACACATATGTAAGCCACTGATACCATTGCGCTGATATACTACTAAGCAAAGGGATTAAAAACATCCCCACCAAAAGTCAAATCAAGTGGAACGACCAGAACCACGATAAAACTGGTAATGGTGTAAGATGGGAAAAATGTGCATGCTGAGTCTTTGACAGAGTAACACATTCAGTAGCAAGTTAAGTGCATTGACCAACACAATGAATGGGCCATTTTGTACATGATTGGTCTATCATAGAGTTAACACGTCTGTAGTAAGTCACCTGAGTCACTCTTGGAAGTAATTAAAAGATTATTGAGTTAAAAAAAGATCATCAGTATTTATCTGAATTTTAAATACAAGCATTATAATGTTATATCTTCTATTTCAGAAGTTTTTGTACAAAATTCTGCTTCATACAACTGTAAGACTGTTATGTCGGCTATTATGTGTACACAATTTGTTCTCATTGCAATACCGACCGTCCATATTAATTTCAGTCATCAAAAATCATCAGAAAAAATGTCGATTGAAACAAGAACGAATCTATAACCATGAGTGAACTCACAAAAGACAAACCCGACCACACTAATTAAGGATATTGATGAAAGTTGATTTGATTATCTATCATTTAACATATTTGACCGGGATTAATATCCCTTGTGCACATCTTAAGGAAGTGTTCCTACACCGTGTAAAGTATCTACAATATTTGTCAACCACATTTATAAGGATTTGCGATGACAATGTGGCAAGGTATACGGACAGACAGACAGACGGACTGATAATGTGATTCCTATATAACCCCACAAGATAACTTTTTTTTGTTAGGGTTATTAAAAGTCTGAAAGATAATGATCTTTATGATAATTATTCAAGGGAAGGATAGTAAGTCCATGTTCCAAGCTCTATTAAAAAGAATGTTTTTCGAATCATGCCATCTATTTAATAAAGACAGATATAGAAAGTAAAGCTAGGTTTCTTAGATTTCGTGCATTTCTTTGAACTTGTACCGCATAATAGTCTAGGGAAGCTTCCTCGCATCTTTCTTGGTAAGCTTAGAGGCACATACAGGGAAAATAGTACTATTACATTTTCCCAGCATTAGGTTGGCCTTTTGTGTACCCAAGGCAGGTGAAGGAAGTCAACTTAGGAGCACTGTGATTGGATGTAAGGGTACAATATATTTTTTTATTTATCTATGAATAACTGCAGTGTGTATATTTACAATATAAATTTTGAAACCCATTGAAATATTTTCTAGAGAATCATTCGAAAAGACTTCCAAAATTTCATAAATTTGGTGTAAAAATGACGGTGGGCATGGATAACATAAACAAGCTCCGTTGGAAGTTGGTCATGATACTATTTGGCTTTAATTTTTAAAACAGAATAATAAAGTACTAACACCACACATAACTGTTTTGTCCAGGTTTTTATTATAAAAAGTGGTAAATTTAGAAAATGTTAGTATTGTCGCCTATGGCAGAATAAATAGTACCGTTTTCCCTACAATAACAAACGTTTCTCATCAAATTTCTATTCTAATTCTAAATTCTAATTACAAAACAGTATCCTGAACATACTATGCAGATTCAGATTTCAGATTCAGATTCTTTATGAAAGATAACTAATATTACATTAGTGTTCTCCATTACAAATCATATGATAATATACAAAACAACATTTCAAAGTTTTACAGGTAGTATATAATAATACAATATACACATAATTTTAGGAATTGTTTCTTATGCAAGAAACTATGCAAAGAACAATAACTCTATGAAAACTCACTGACCATGCCAATCTACATTCTAACAATAAAATACTTACAAGAATAGACCATTTTAGTCCAAGGGTATATAGAAATCATAAGTCAAAGGAAGACAACTCCATAGCCAATTTTGACATAACGGATTTCATTAACAGAAGTGTGGTCCTTACACAAACACTGCTCCAACAAAGTTATGAGGAAGAAAGACTGTATTCGACACTACATAAGTTTTACAGTCACCATCAAGAATTGGTTGACCGATTCGATGTGTCGGTGTTTCAACTCACAATGTTTTTTCGTTCATAGATCATTAGATATCAGTGTTGTCGTCTAATCTGTTATTTGACCGCTTGTGACATTTTACTGAGTGTCAAGTCGCATGGCGGGTGATGCATGAATAGCAGGAGACGCTTATCCTGTCGACGCACCCGGCTTTTCGGTCATAAAATTTTACTCAGTACTCGTATATAATATTTGTGGTCGAAACACCAATGCTCTCGGTCATACAATCTACGAGGACGATAATCGTACCCAGACTCAGAAATCAACCAATCAAAATACCGGGTTTGTTGTTTCTAGCACAAATTTTGTACTCCGAGTACTGAATATAGTTTAATTACCGAGAGCCCTGGCCATGCGGTCATGAAAATTTCGAGCACAATTTTCCTACTCAAACTCAGAAATCAACCAATCAAAGTACTGGATTTGGTGTTTCGAGCACAATTTTTGTACTCAGAGAACTGAGTAAAGTTTTATGACCGAGAGCCCGGGCCTTGCGGTCATAATACTTTACTCTGTACTCGGAGTACGAAATTCGTGCTCGAAACAACAAATCCTGTATTTTGATTGGTTGGTTTCTGAGTCTGAGTACAATAATCGTACTCGAAAGTTTTATGACCGTAAGTCCTACGCTCTCGGTCATAAAACCTTACTCAGTACTTGGAGTACAAAATCTGTGCTCGAAACAATAAATCCAGTATTTTGATTGGTTGATTTCTGAGTCTGAGTACAATTATCGTATTCGAAAGTTTTATGACCGCAAAGCCAGGTCTCGCCATTTTTGGAGTTCATGCGACTCCCTCACTTTCAGTTTGTAGCCTTGATTTGTCTCTTCCTTGTCGATTGACGAGATTTGAACATCAGTAAAATATTGTCACCTTAATTTATCAATATAAAAATTAGGCAAAAGGAAAGATACATTATAAAGGCTCTTTCGTTTTGAATAATGTAAAAATTCATTACTTTTGTTAACATTTATATTGAGTGATTGAAAGTTGCACAAGTAACTAATTTTATATAGTGAGAAACAGTTTTATTGAATATCAACGAATTGGTATCATCAGCTCAGTAGAAGTCAGTACTTCGGTACTGACATGATTAATAAAAAACCTTTCTAAATTTGCCCGTTTATAAATTTTGAAATTATAAAGAAACTAAGGTTTCAACTCCATCAGGCAAAGTTGGCCTTAGAAGGATTTGGCTTATATTTTAGGCCATTTTTGATTATATAGCTCTTCAACTGTTTCGGTTTTATACATCCTTGGCTTTCAAATGTTCGGCTTTGAACGTTCCTGATGAAGGTAAATCCAGAAAAGCGCCTCGGACGCATTAAATTTATAACGTGTTGTTTTCATTTTTTGTAGTGATTTTTTCCTCATTTCATTAGATTGAAACGATAAAAAAAATAGTCTTTCTTAGCATTTCATTTCTCAAAGTTTTGTCAATTTCTAATCACAAGTGGTGTATTTTGATTTTGAATTTCGTTTATAAGTTAAAGTACTAATACTTGCAGTTGAATAGGGGGGTATTTCTGTCGTATATGTTGGATTGAAGCAAACATTATCCACTCGGAAGCAGCCTTTGTAGTCAAAAACTGGACCAAGGTCATCCCCATCTGTCACATCAATAGTCATGGTAACAGTACTTGTTCTTCTTTCAGAAATAACTGGTGCCAGGTCCTAATTAATGTAGTTTTTTTTGCAAAATTATATACATAATCGACTAACACAAAAGCACAAAAACATAGAAATTCGAAAATTAGTTTGATAACATAATAAATAAAAAATATATATTCATTTATATGACCAATCTTTAAAAGTACGAATATCATGTTCATGCTATAAAAATTATTTCAGTTACGTGTAAATTACATTGTTCTATAAGAGGGTCTTGGAAGGGGGCCTTCGTTTCTTTATTATTTTGACTTTTAGACCCCCCCCCCCCCCCCCCCCCATTATTCCCTATTCTTTAACACCCAAGTATTCACCGTTCTTTTTTAACCTATTTTCTCTTTTCTTTATATGTCTTGCTCTTTATTCTTCACTATTTGTCAATTATTCTCTATGCTGTTAACCACATCTAGACCCTCCTATAATAGTTTGCAAAATACCTGTAGAAATACTTTAACATATACTTACTGTCACAGAAATTGGAAGAAAATATTTGTTTACTCTTTCAAAATCCAACGTAGACTTTATCGCAATAGATCCACTTCGCGGCGATATGATTGTAAATTTCTCTGCTGCATCATGTAAAGTAAAAGAAGAAATAGGTTGCCCCTAAAATTTAAAATAAATATTCTATATAATCGAAATTTGTCAAAATGACCGCTTGAGGAATGAAATGTAATAATACTTTGAAATTGTGGAATGACACAAAATCATGTTTCATCCGTTGTTTAAAAAAGGCAATAGTAGTATACCGCTGTTCAATAGTCATAAATAGATTTAACTGAAACAAATCCGGGTCGCAAACCAAAACCGAGGGAACACATCAACTATAAGAGGAAAACAACGGAACAACAGAAACACTGAACTGCTACAAAAACAAACGCCAACAAACATAGAAACGGACTATTTGATAACAACTGGCATATTCCTGACTTGGTACAGGACATTTTATGAACAAATGGTGGGTTGAACCTGGTTTTATGGCTAGCCAAACCTCCCGCTTATATGGCAATGTTAAAAATCCCGCTAAAACTAAAACATTACGTGACAGGAATAAAAAATATGAAATATGCATAGGTTTCGATATGACGTAATTTGTATTTGAATTATTTCCCTTGGCCGCCATTTTGGAGGGGTAAATGGTTGAGTTTCTTATTTGACTATCCAAATTGACACATGATGTACAAACAAGTCTGAAAAAAACCTTTTCTCGATCGTAGTAACGAATCAATCATTAACAAAAGAAATTTAAATTGTACATAAAACAACGTCTTTATAAAGTCTAGCAAAACAAGTTGAATATGGCGACAAAAGGGTAGTAACTACTGACCAAATTGTGTCTATCGAAACCTACCAAATGAAAGAAGAAAAATAACGCAGAAAAAAAAGTCCGTGTAACATGTTGCTTTCCAAGGTGTTATCTGAAGATTTCTCAACCTAACTATCATTAACATCTTTTTATGGTTGAAAGTTAGAACAATTTTCAATTTAAATCGTTTAGTAAAACACAGGCTTTAAAATGTGGTGATGAAGCTTTTATCATTTTATGGAATTAGTTTTCCAAAGAAATTAACCTACTTGTTGTTCAGCACGTGCGTCAAACTTCTAACTGTGTTTGTATATAAAGCGTATAGTTCCAGCACGTTACAATATTGTAACTGTGTAGCCAATAGGAAACCCATGCCTTTAGTAAATTTTCATATAATTTAAAATGAAACGTTAATTACCGAACTATCAGATTGACCTATCGCAAATTCATATTCACTATTCAAACCAGTATCTTTGTCCATGACTGTAACCAATTGCACCATTTCACCAATTACAACGCCCACTGGAGTCAACTGTAAACATTCCAAAAACATCTGGTTAGAAAAATACACCATGCAAAAGATACTTGCAAATCGCGAATCGAGAAAGCCAAATGCGCTGCACAAGTAGTTTGATTTCTTTGTGGAATGCATTCTTGGAACGAAAGATGATTCTAATAGCATGCAAGTATAACTTTGGTAAATGAATTATAAATTAATATTGTATTTATGAAAATTTCAAACTTTTAACTATTGAAGCCGTCATACGATTTCTAAATTTATAACAATTTGAATATTCAACGGCTCTCAGTGATCCTTGATGTTGAAAGTGAACATCGTTGTTTAATTTTTGAAATAAATCAACTGTACGTTAAGGGCTTACACACGTTTAACCCCGCCACATTCTTAATGTTCCTGTTCCAATTCAGGAGCCTGTAGTTCAGTGGTTGTCGTTGGTTCATGTCTGTCATATTTGTTTTTCTTAAATTGTTTTATTTTGAATTTGGCGTTTAGTTTTCTCGCTAAATTGGCTCCCATTTTAATTATGTCGGGCCTTTTATAGCCGACTATACGGTATGGGTTTTTCTCATTGTTGAAGGACGTACGGTGACCTATAATTGCTTATATTTACTTTTTTTAATTCATTGTTGTTGGAAGGTCTTTAAGGATAAACTTGACAGATCGCAGCTTCGTTGATAACAAGACGACCCTTAGCGTTGTTATTTAAGTTATCGATAATCGATATATTTTTGAATTTATTAAAGAATATAACTTGGACGTTTTCCGCATTCAATCTTACAACAATGGAAACATCTTTTGCTACATGCATGCATACAACACAAAGGGAAAACGATTGTAAGATAGAAGGCGGAAAACGTTACTGCAAACAAATACTTTATTGTCATATAAACATATAAAGTTTGTGACAAAAAACAAAAACAAATATAATATAGCAAAGAAATAACAATTCTATAATGAATGAACACATGGAAAAACATCATAAGACTTTTGCCCTCAGTTCTAATGACTGTTTTATAAAGGAGCTAATATTTTTAACATGTTCATGATAGAGGGGTTAAGCATTTATTTTTGCCTTTTTGTTCTTGGGCATCTCGAACAAACTGGAAAATGTTCACTAAAAAGAAAGACCTGTTTCCAAACGAATCATGTCAATCAAGAAAAGGATTCCTAACAATAGGGAAGAGAAAACCGTTCTGTTATCATTAATTTAAGTATACGAACATTACAATATACTATGCGAAATTTTAACATAAATGTCTATAAAGAAAGTGATCACTATTAACGTTGGTCTTACTAAGAATAAGTCGAGATGGATGAACTTTATTTGTATATTTAAACAAATCTGGATTGTTTACCGTGAATATATGGTATATATATCTACGAGCATTGTTAAAATATCGGTATCATGTGGTGTTTCAAATTTATTATCACAATCGTTTTAGAACCAGAGAAGTCAAATAGAAAAGGTCACAATTATTTTACCATAAGTTCTATTTAAAAGTATTGACTGTCAGTTGGATTTGAATGCCAAAAGCCAAAGTAATTTTGAACTAACTCGGGTTCCAGATAATAGAAGAAGGTAAAGTCATTGTTTATTGAATTTATTTGACGATTTTGACATTTTCAAAGAGCCTAAGTTAACCATGAAAAGATAAGAATAAAAGATTTCAAAATAACGTTATTGACATGGCACTTACCTCGTTTACTGATATGGGTCGAGGACTCCCTAATATCTGAGGATAGTTATCATTCACGTCAATGATATCAACGTTCACGGTAAAATACTTTGTTACGGAGTCAACCTGAAGACAAATGAAACATATTATCTGTATGAATAAAACGAGATGAATTGTGTGAGCCAATTACCCCCACCATAACTATTTCTCCTTTTTGAAATAAGTTATTTTCTATAGTAAAATTGTAAAAAAGTGAAGGACTACTAATAACTTGCATCTCAGTAAAAAATGCAGTTTTGTCTCGATTGGAATAGACTGTAGTTTAGTGGTTGTTGTTGGTTCATGTCTGTCATATTTGATTTTCGTAAACTGTTTTGTTATGAATTAGGCCGTTAGTTTTTTCAATTGAATTGTTTCATATTTTTCATGTCGGGGCCTTTTAAAGTCGACCATAATTACGGTATTGGTTTTTCTCATTGTTGAAGGCCGTACGGTTGCCTATAATTGCTTACATCCACTTCATTTGAACTTTGGTGGATAGTTGTCTAATTGGCAATCATACCATATCTCCTTACTTTTATATTAATACATCATTGTTTATCATTATAAAAATAAGTATCCCAAAGAAGGCGTTTTGGTACTTTTTAATGAATAATTATTATTCTAAGATACGCATAGGACTAAAAGTAAGGAATTCAAGTTGCTTGTTAACTGACAAAGTTTACCCTTTGGTCTAATAAAGTACTTATATTCATTGACATGAGAATTGCAGCACGAAATTGCAAACAAAACCATCTTGTGGGAGTTTGTATTTTAACTTTCTGACGAGATGTGATCATTATTTTGCAAATCCAAGATCCTAAATTAGAAAAGAAGTTTTTTTTTCTAAATTGAAATGCATTTTCGTCTATTTTTATGAATACGATCATGAATTAGAATATAATTCATCTTTAACCTTTCATAAATAATTCAATGCTTTTGGAACCCTGACATTATTTTTTACTCACCAGGCGTGTACACTTCAGCGTAAATTGTATGCTGTTTAGATCATCGTAAGGCTCATATGAACGCCCCTGAAATATACAAATTTTGACATTAATTTTGCTAAGGAAACCAAATGTTGCTAGTTCTTCAATTTGCTTTTTTCTGCTTACCCTTCCGGAACACATGATATCAACTCCTTTTTTTTGTTGTTTTTTGTATTGCTTAGTTTTTTGTTTTCTGTGTTGTATTTTGTTAATGTTGTTTGTCTTTTGATCGTTTTTTTGGTTTTGACCATGGAATTGTCAGTTTGTTTTTGACTTATGAGTTTGAATGATCCTTTGGTATCTTTTGCCTCTCTTTTAAAGTTATCGGACTAACGCAACGTAAATATTTTTTTCATTTTCAATCTATGAAAACGTAAGAAATGATTTTTTAAATAAACAAAATAAACTACATAGGTCGAATGATGTCGCATGTTGGAATAGTTGACTGCTATTTTTATATACAAGAAGTCAGTTATGGACAACAAGTTTATTATATTATAAAATATTCTTTGTGTTGATTTGAACTTTGTAAACGTTTGGTTTGTTTATTATATATTTTTTTATTGATATGTAAGTGCTTGTTTGTTTTTTAGTCTTTTTTCAATCTTATTTTACTACAGTGAATCGATTTTCCTGTACATTTTATAGTGTTTGTTGGTTGAAAATACTTTTTGTGAGGGCCTTTATGGAAATAAAAAAGGAGTGAGTTAGATTTAAAAATTAAAAAAAATAAAATGTCTGCAGGATAATTGTCTTCTTGGCAGTCGGTCGGTATAAGACCCAACGCGGATCCAGTGCAGCACTGAATTTAAATGTGTCAGCTACATTTAGAGGGCGTTTATCTGGTTTCCCCTTGAATCTATCCATGAACACATCAATTTTTTGTTTGGATACTTTTTGTCATATGTTTTGTTTGTTGTACGAAAATAAAAGTCTCCTACGTCTCTGTCTAGTGGTGCATTCAGTCTAATAAATGTTCTTCTTGTATATCCATTCTGGGAGGTGGGAATTGGTTTTGATTCCAACACAAACAGACTAGTAACATCGATCTGTGAACCAGTATTTCTTTGTATCTGTAATAGAATTCCTGTTGCAGAATCTGTTCCATTCAGAATACCATTGATATGAGTGTCTGCTGTATATTTGTCTGGATAAGATGATATATCTGTAATATATTTAAATAAACCGAAATTGGATTAACATGAATAAATTTATGAAATTTGATAATAAAAATATATTTGTGATGATTGTGATATTTTTTTATTTTGTAATTAATGAAACAAATGCTTGGCTACTAAACGTTCTAGGAGAATTGCCGTTCGAGTAACTATTTCTAAGATCTCTGCACTTTTCACTCATCGCATTGCTTTACTTACGCACCCACTTGTAGCATCTATCATATATTACCAGGACAACGCTTCTTCAGTCATACAGAAAGACTCATACAGCGAGGGCGAGAGCGTCTGTTTTTGCTGCTTTGATACAAAGTTACGACCGGTTGGTATTGGAATGAATATTAACTCCTATACCTGTGTTAGGAAAGTGTCATGCGTTTTGAATAGAAACGAACTCTTGTAATAACTGCTCGGGTCCTCAGATAACCCTTTGTTAGAAAACAATTCCTTTTGCGTATCCTGCAAGTTGATATATAAAAATTATCTTCAACAATGAGCAATACACATACCGTTCAGTAAGCTTTGAATGACCCCTCCCTACATGACAAACTGTGAAACAAATCAAAGGAGAAAGCCGAATGCCTGATTAATCAAAAAAAAAAAAAAAATCCAAAAAAGCAGACTGCAACCACCGACATCTACTAAACTACAGTCTCTTGACTTGGGACAGGTACATAGATATTGTGAGGGGGTTAAACATGTGTTTGTGTGTTCGCTTAACCCTACCTCTAACCAGAGAGAGTTGGTGTAGCAGTACAATATAAGAACAAACTATAAAACTCTTCTAGAATAAGTGCATTCAAATGATCAATAAATTTACATGGATAATATCTAAATTTACCGGCTTTATAAACAACATCAACGTAAAAATCATAAGAGATATCCCGTTTCAAATAATCTTTAAAAATACAAGTAAAGAAAAACTTCACAAATCAGATTTTTTTTAAAGATTTCAGTAAAGGTTTAAAGTAATTTATAGTAACAAAATTCCTGACTAAACAATTAACCAGTTATTCAATAAAATCTAAAACGTCACTACAGGCAATGGCATAGCGAACGAGTTGGAAATATACACACCTTAAGAATGGGCCAAAGAGAAGATAATAGCAGAAAACGAAAAATCGTCTCTTTTGTCGTAAATTTGAGTATAGAATTTTAAATGGAATACAGCCACAGTTAATATCTGTTTTACTCATCCTAAATTCCCGTGGACCCTGATTGGGAATAATACTCACTTAATAAATGCATGTTTAATTGATAATCATCCTAAATATGCTTTATTTATTTCACAATGAGCGTTTAACAATAAAAACAATTATGCAGTTATGCTTTAAAATTTGCTTCGAGGTACTCTATGGTAAGATGGAAATTATTAATTCCAAGATCATCAGACTTTGGATCCAGCAGAGCAAACAGTACGTCATTATTTTGATTGTTATTTTATGTCGCAATAAACAAATATCTAAAAACCGAATATGTGTCCTTGTTCTAAGTACAAATAGGGTGCGGCAGATAGCAAGGGTATATTCAAAACTCATACGTCGAAGAAAAACTGACAACGTTAATGAATCATCCAAATAATTCAAAAAGTTTAGTATGCCTAAACCTTGGATGTTGGTTCTATATAAATATAAAACAATACCTTCAAGACCGGCTTCTTCTAACTGAATATTGATTTGATGTTCTCCAGAGCACGCTAAAAGCAAAAAGTACATAATATTATATTATATCATATACGGAAGTATCTGTTCCATATTTGTTCATTAAAACCCATGCAGTCCATAAATATTGGTAATACGTTGTGAAGTATAAAATTTAATTCTTTACCTGCTGTATTCCTCTTAATTAAAAAAATTATGCTCAGTATATATAAGTTTTTAACATCCTCGTTCAAAAAGGAAATACCAGTTGCGTCTGGAGCACACGATAAGCTCGTCGACAAATTAGCAGTGAGAACTGTTTTAAAATGTGTTTTTGACTGAACGAAACAGTGTGTTAAATTTTAAAAAGGACTCACGAAAGCATATGCGAGAAATAAGGGAGCACAACTTTGGTTTTTTTTTGCGGCAAAGGCATTTAAGATTCCCATAACGCTGAATTTGTTAATCTGAAAATTGTCATAATCGAAAAGGATCTTACTTTTACATGTTACATGTTTCATGTGATTCGTTGAAAGCAGACTTCAGTTATAACCAGATATATGAACAATTGCCTAGCTGGTCCGGGAACAGTATGGAGAGTGTATCACTTGCAAATTTTTTTGTATACACCTCCTCATTAAATTTCTCTATGTTTTATGCATAAAAAGCAAGAAGGATGAGAATTAACACATAAAAATGAATTTCAAGGTAAAGTAGTGATTTGGTCCCGTTGAAAAAAGGTAAAAAAGAATTAATACGTCTGAAGCTTTCAAGCTGAATGCAAGACCCCGTTAACATAAAATTATTCAGATTTTGAGTTAGCGTCGATGAAGTTTCTATAATTCTAATAAATTGCCTTAAAAGTAGAACTCTACACTGTAAAATCTAATCGAAAAAGCCCAGGTGTGTTTTATTGAATTTCGTTTACCTTCTAAAAGAAATTGGACGTTAAGTATCCTAAATCAATCCAAAAGAAATGCACTACACAATATCTGTGCTCTTGGGCCAGTTTTTCACAATTAAAGTCCAGTAACTCTAGAACGGCTAATTTGAAAACCACAAAAATCGACAGGTAGCTAGTTATCATGGAATCTAACAATGTGTAAACAAAATTGGAAAGGACTTAGGCTATGGCGAGCCATGCTCTGATGGATCGATGGTAGAATACAAAATGTCTGTCTTATCAAAAATAAACATTTCCAAATAGGATATATCCAGATGATTAAGTGTAAAGACGCCATTAGCTTTACGTACGGTACCCTATGGTTGTTAACTTCTATGTCATTTGGTCTCTGGTAGAGAGTTGTCTCAGTGGCAATCATACTACATCTTCTTATTTTTATATTTCTTTGTATGAAACTTTTTTAAAATAACAAAAATCAGAACGTTTCTGAAAGCCGTAAACGAATCAAGTAGCTAAATGGACCCAAGCCATTATTTGCACGGCTAGAAATAAGAATTATGGCCAATGTCGTTGAAGTTGTATCTACCCTGGTACTTTAAAAAAAATGCTAACTAAATTAAAATAAAAAGAAGAGTACATGTAGTATACAATATAAGTTAAAATTATACTCACGATAGTTCTGATCTGTTACATTAGCAGTGCAGAAAACAATCACAGTCTTAAGGAAAGTATATATCACAATTATTCTTGCCATACATAAATTATATTAAGAGTTAATTTTGACCGTGTGAAATGACATACACTTTTTAAAGTTTACAAACTTTTTTTTTAATGTTTACAAGCCTAAGGGTCATCGGACGATCACCTGTGCCATCTATAAAGTGTGAAACATCAATTGACTAAATTGAATAGAAAAAGGTCATTTTCCGGTTCGTTGGATGGCGTTTGTACATGTTCCCAGAGTTACAAACTAGTTTCACTAAATATGAAATCATCATTGAAGATAGTTTTAAATTCTCACATTTTAAATGTAATTTTATCTTGAATCGCCTACATTTACACAAGTAAAATACTTCAGGTCAGTATCATTAAGTGGCGTAAGACGAATAATTTGACCATTCATTATCATAATTATATAGTGGTATGAATAAATTAATGTTTGTTTTTGTCAATTTTATCACTTTAAAGAAAGTATAAACTAATTCATAAGTAGTTTTATTATCAATTTAGTAAAGCGCAAAATTTTAAATCATTTCAACATTTTTACAAAAGTTCATTTTTAGATCAATGCAGAAAAAGGGATCAACGCAAATATCTGTATTCCTAAACACTGGACCTTGGGAATGTATATTTATAAACTAACATTAATTACATGAAAAAAAATATACATACAACCGTTCCGTCAGTCACAACAGGTATTCAATCAAACTTATGATTATTCTTAATATCATTATTATCGAAAGGAAAACATTAACCGAAGTCAAGAGTCTAAAGAAAAGAAGAAGAAGAAAAAAAACCCACCATTATACTTCAATCGTTTTCCGAAATGTTGATAGGAGGTTTAAGTGCTGTTGTTTTCTTTATCCAAATAAGCTAAAAAAGAAAAATAGCATAGTAAAAATAAAACACACATTTCACATATATGCAAGATATATTACAATAGAGGACCTCTTGTTTAACAAAATGATTGAGGATAGAAAGAAAAATATTAATTAAAACATTAAATCTAATGAAGTTATTGTACAGAATTTTGACGGGACATATTTCAGTTACACTATGCGTGAAAGTCCGAGAAATGATACGTTCATTAAAGTCTCTTATTCCATATTCACGAAATCACTGGGCATGAAAACTGCAAAGAGATGAAAAAACAAATTATAGTTAATGAAAACTTTTAAAGTTCTATAAAAAGAATAAGCTGAAGTTTCCGACGCAAATTCCTTGTAAGAGAACTTTTGCTCTAATGATGATCGGTCCTAGTAGTAAAAACAGATCATAATAGCAGAAGACTGTCGCAAAAGTTTTCGCTTGGCAAAGTGTATCCAATTGTTATTGTCTCCTTTCGACAAGGCTAAGTATGGCAGTCTGGAATGTAGAGCATTTCCAAAATTATCGATGCCTTGTCTGCATTATATACTTTATCGGACTGGGACTCATATATCAGTTTGTCCCTATTTGATATCCATGACGATAAGGTGAAACCTCCCTGTTAAGTTTATGTCTCGATACCTTGATGTGCCTTACTGCAGACTCCATGGATTCCATGCAGGTTGATACATAATCCACATATACGTTTCTTCATAGAATTGTAGATATTTCGCTCGGGTACATGGATATATATGTTTCATCAAAGTTGCATTTAACGTGAACAGAGAGCACGTTCGCCCCGAAAAGTATGTAGATTGTAGTGTTGCTTCTTATAAGAAAGCTATAGCACCAAGGGTTCAAAGTGGTAAAGTTGAAGTCGTCCCTTTACGAACCTCATCATGAGTTGGTTGACCGTTATAGAATATCTGTATTACAAATGACCACGGATATGTTCATTCGGCACTGACATGATTTTTTTTATACATTTCTTTATTTAGAAATTCAGAAACTAACGATTTAACTCCCTCAGGAAAAATTGACCTTAGATTGATTTGGCTATTATTTTTAGGTCCTTTTGGTCAAAGAGCTCTTAATCTGTTTCGGTTCTCGTTCATCTTTGAATTTCAAATATTCGGCTTTGAGCGTTCCTGATGAAGATAAATCCAGAAAAGCGCTTCGGACCCATGAAATTTATAACGTGTTGTTTTCATTTTTTCAATAGTCGTTACCACAATACGGTTGTGACATTACTGAATGAGACATATCACCATATTTGTACTTACTTTGGGCAATATGACGAGTACCCTTCCGGAGCACATGAGAACAACTTTGTTTATGTAGTATTGAGTAAATTTCCATCGGCAGGTTTTGGTATGAATTTATCGTCATTCGCAGTTGAATTTTTATCCTGCAAACTACCACAGCAAATGCTGCTTTAATGTTTCTTATTGCAATTTCAGCAGCAATATTTTGACTTTGTACTTTATTTTGGATTTTAAGTTTTTAATTCGAGCGTCAATGATGAGTCTTATGTTGACGAACCGCGCGTCTGGCGTATCAAATTATAAGCCTGGTATCATTGATGATTTTTTTTTTCAGAAACATTATAATGAAATTGAGAATGGAAATGGGGAATGTGTCAAAGAGTCAACAACCCAACCAAAGTGCAGAAAACAGCCCAAGGCCACCAATGGGTCACCGAAACAACCAATCTCTTTTCTCCTTGACGATTTTCATACAGACATTTATATCTGCTATCTTAATACATTCATTTAGGTAATGTGAATTTTACAAAATCGAAGTGATTGCTTTCCATTGAATTAAACTATTTCCAATAATCATCATTAACGTGGTCTTGAGTAATTGTTTTCATTTAATTTACTTTAAAAAATTGTTGAAAACTAATGCTATTTAAAAAAATAGGTTTTCGTACGATTCCTAATATCAGCCATTTCCTTCCTACCCTGGTATGCACCTTTCTATGGTGTCACTGAACGATTCTAGTCCTTAACTTCCGGTAATGGTGCAGGTAAATAAAGCAAGTTTTGCATGTACGCGTTGACACATGTATGTAGTTGGTAATAATCTAGCATGTAGGATGTTTATTGCCTGGTTATTATCTGCACTAGTAATTTGTAATTCCGTAATACGCAGGTTAGCTTTTTCGTAAAGTTACCGGCGATTTCAATATAATTAAATATGTATAGGTCCCTAAGTTACGACAGAATTGTATGAATCCCGAAAGGGTGATCACCAGAATAGGTTTCCGTCAAAAGTAGCTTTATCAACGTTCACCGGTTCACTGTTTCGAACTCATCTTCTACTCGTTTCCGTCACGGCACCAATTTGTTGAGCGCAAATTATTATGAAAGACTTTTCAACAGTAATAACGTCTTCCTAGTTCAAGACGACCGCTAGCATTGGTTTGAGCAGAATCTGTGCTACATTTCGAAAACGCTTCATTTTTTGATTGAATAACATAGATGTGGGAATAATATCAGTAAACAAATAGCAGACACACAAATCTAACAAATACTATCATATTTTATAAAACAAAAATATTTGTTTATTTACATACTGTAATTAAGTTCAGAAAAAAGAAAGAAAGTTTTCTTACTTTCACTGACAAATGGCGAATAATTACTTTTCTATGAATGAAAGATTTAAACAAATAATTCGTATTCAATTATAATAAACCGGAAAATAATATGGGTATTTCCATGACCGAAAGATTACTTAATGGTAAATTTGTATAAAGATAAAAATACAAGTAGTTTTATCTCCAACATTTAAAGTCATGTGATTCTTCAAATGTAAAACAAAATGAATAAACTTGAATGGCCAAGGTTTACTATAAAACATGTGTACATAGGCTTTCTTTTCAAAGAAAATTCTTTATTTTATCAAAATCTTCAGAAATGTAGTTGCTATTGAATTTATTTCTTCCCGTACTTTGATTAGCCGACATCTTTTCCATATGCAGTGACCTTTACCACGACACCTCTTGTTAGACATTCGGCTATCACACAACGCAAGTAATGAAAGAAAAAGTAAACAAATGTGGAAAGAGGACGTTATTAACCAATTATATAAGAAACATTTTAATATACCAGATCATTTAACATCTGTGATGACAAAGTTTCATTAACAAATTGAATCATATGACAAATTAAAAAAAACCACAATTATCGCCTTATCATCTCACTCATTTTTCAAGTGCGCCATGCTTTTGTGCTGATTGATTATCAAGGTCAAGATCGAAAAACTTCGGCACTAACACCAAAAAGTTAATTAGCAGCCAACGCTTCCGATCAACATTAACCGAACGAGATATTTTTTTATAATTCGTTATATTGCATGATTCGTAATAAATGTAAAAAATGTGCACAGACTACTAAGTTTAGTATATATCTATGCATTGGTTCAATAATTTCCTTAACATCATAATCATCCTAAACTCTTGTCATATGATTTTAAAGAAAGGTAAACATTGTATTCTTTATTGACATAAATCATATGAAAGATTATCTATTTAACTGTGTACAATTTCAATTCAAATAGGTTGCGGAAGCATATATTTATGTTATGTCTAATACATAATTTTGTTGCACACAGTTTTTATCAGTTTACAGAGGAGCACACAATGCTTTGTTGGATTATATTCTATTTTGTGATTTGTTTAGTCAATGGATCGACAAGTTGTTACAAGAATTTCTGTCAGTGTATTCAAAATTGCAATAGGACGTCGTGTTTTTCATTAACGTTCATTCCAAAAATCCCAGAATATTCTTTTACGCTACTGCTAAAATCGAATACTTTCTTACATCTGGACAGAAATACGTTTTATAATGTAACAGACATCAATATCAGACATTTATTATTGCAAGACAATGGTATTCTAACCTTATCGAACGACACGTTTAAATTTCTGAATATCATGAAAACACTGGAAATTTCATACGAAGAGAAATTAAATCTATCAACTCTTGAAACATCCCTTCGCAGCGTTAATTCGTCTATCATTGAAATATTAAAATTCGAAAACAATGGATGGGAAAATGTCCCAAACACTCTTTTTAGGAATTTAGCTGGAGCTAATATTTCTACACTTTCGTTGGACTCTAACCATCTTTCTACTTTTGATGCCACTTCAGTCGAGCTCTTTCATCAAGTGAAAAAGATCACATGTAAAAATAATACAATTGAAAAGTTGATTATCACGAACGGTTTACAAACAGTGAAAGAATTAGATATGACTTCGAATCAAATAGTGCTACTTCCGAACTTTTGCTCTAAAAATGGCTCAACTGCTACTCCAAGACTGAAAATATTGACTTTAACTGATAATGCTATTAGGTCGCTTACTTACAGATCCTTCATGTGTTTGGGCAAATTGCGGGAATTAAAACTAAACAGTAATAGAATAAAGACAATCGAAAATGATATATTTTTACCATTGACAAGTTTAAAAAGGCTTTCAGTAAGTCATATGAAACTTACAAAAATTGAAAGTCGTGCTTTTAATTGTGTTTCTTTGCGAAAGTTGGAGTTTATACAAAATGATTTCAGGTTTCATGACTACGACAGATTTGACGCAAAATCAATTTTTCGATTTTTGCCTAATCTCACAACCCTCGACATGACAAGGAATATTTACCAAAAGATGACCATATTCTTCTTGAAATGTTATCACCGTTGAACAATTTACAGAAATTAACATTGCAAAAGACATCTTTGTCTACATTGCCAGACGATTTTTTCAAAGACAAACCCTTTCTTCATACTTTAACATTACAAGGAAATAGCATAAGTAGATGGAATTCAACTCTTTTCCATAATGTGACATCTCTAAAAATATTTAACGTCAATGGCAATTCAATAAACCTTATCAATGAAACTTCATTTCCCGAAAGTATGCTTGCATCATTGGAAAAATTAGACTTATCACTCAATCCGTTTTGGTGTATTTGCAACCATAAATGGTTTGTGGATTATCTACGTACTTCCAAATTATCATCAAAACTGAAAAATTGGCCGGGACAATACCAATGTTCTTTTCCAGAGAAACTCAAACGTGTTAAATTAATAGACTACATGCCAACAGAAGAGACTTGCAGTGACTCAGATCCTACTAACATCATCATTGGATCTGTTTTATTCGGTGCCTTTCTGATTATTCTGATAGTAGGGCTGTTTTTGAAATGTCAAAACAATATTCGTAATGCGGTATACCTCTATCACCTTCATCGACGTCGCCAGCATAGATCTGTTCGCTCGGACTTACCGGAAACTTACGAATTCGATGTATATGTTGTTTACTGCGCGGATGATCGTAAATGGGTCCATGAGGTTCTTTTGAAACGCCTAGAAGATGAAGGATTGAAAGTCTGTATTCATTATCGAGATTTCGAGTTGGGCGAAGGTATTGTTGATAACATTGAAAGGTTTATGAATAAAAGTTGGAAAATTGTAGTCATTATGTCGAATAACTTTGCTAAAAGTGAATGGTGCCAGTGGGAAGTTAACCTTGTCCAAGAAAGAAGACGCCGTCGAGGGAAAAATGCGATGGTTCTGATAATGCTTAAGCAAATCAATTCAAAACATATGACAAGTGCTCTTCGTACATTACTTTATACAACGCCTTATTTATCGCAAACAAAAGGACTCGGAAAAAAAATATTCTGGACTGCTGTGATCAGCGGTGTTAAAAAATCGTATGACGATCCTCCCGTTGCAGTTTCGTACATTGCATAACTTCTGACAACTTAACTTTTATGTACGATTATGATTTTTTTTCTTCAACAATTTATTTCACTAGTTCTATAGCTAGTGAATGGTCCCTGTAGTCTGTTTGTTAAATAGCAAAAATACAGGGTTTCTTCTGGTTATAAACATCATCATATTAGATATTAGTTTTAATTACAGCTAAATTAAATTACTATCAACAATGAAATAAACAAATATATGTTTTTATATAAAAAGAATCATTTAGTCAGAAAACCTATATATCATTTATATCATGTATTAAACTTATTAATTTTCTGATGGTTTTGTTATCATTTTTAGCTATAAGTATAATTTTTGAAATTTCTTCTTAATTTGAAATGATCATACCAGCTCTAATGATTTAAAAACAATGGTTTTGAACTATGATTGATGTTTACGATTCTTACTATGCAATGTATTTTCCATGACTCCCTTCAAACGCTTTTGATAAAATAAATGTATATTGAATGTCAGCTGATCGGCAACGTCATAATTTGCTTTTCTGTTCCAATATACTCCCATGTCGTAGACAGATATGGATAAACACAGAAAGGTACACAAATAATCAATGAGACGAATTTGTTGAAAGCACGATTTCTTAGATAAAAATCAGATTTCTTGAAAATATGTTCAGTAAGTAGGTATTTACTTAGTAATTTATTTGCATAAATACTTGGAAAATACCGGAGGTACCAATGAGTGCAAGCTCGTTTTCATCCCCCCCAAAACAAAAAGCAAAAAACTCACTTAAAACACATGTGCATAACCAAAACATAATACAACAGTGAAAACTAATGCCTTGATAAATAGAACTCCGAACTATAAACTTGGCGGGATTTCAGTTGCTTCTACAGAGTAAGTTTCTCCTGCTTCGCATGTTTTATTAGTCACATCCTGTTAAGGATTAATACACGAATTAAGCGTTCCAGGGAGTACATACAGAGGCCATGGCGCTAGAATAACCAACATATTTAGATGTAATACGTTCAAAGGAGAATGTCATAACTTGGAATTGGATATTATGTCGAAGGCCTAAAAAATTGCTCCCAGGCAGTATTTTGAAAATTACAGAAACATTAGATTTTTAATTCGATTAATATTATAAAAGACAGCTATTAAAGACAAACAATCAATTAATTTAAGAGAAGGAAATGTAATTGTTTTCCTTAAAGTAAAATATCTGGACAATTAAGGGAGATAACTTTGCCTCCAAAATGAGTAAAGTGTGCCAGTTAACAAACAGGTATAAGTATTACCCTTGGTCAAAGGTTGTGATGATTTTTAAATTATTTCTGTACAAAAAAAAGATAATTTGCATTCCCTTCCATATAAGTTGTACTTTGATTTATTTTCTTACTATGAAAACAGTTGTTGACATAAATACGAAGATGTGGTATGAGTGCCAATGAGATAACTCTCCATCCAAGTCACAATGTATTAAAAGTTAACAATTATAGATCAAAGTACGGCCTTCAACACGGAGCCTTGGCTCACACCGAACAGCAAGCTATAAAGGGCCCCAAAATGACTAGTGTAAAACAATTCAAACAGGAAAACCAATGGTCTAATCTATATAAAAAACTAGAAACGAGAAACACTTATGATCTTTATACTGTAAGTATTTCATTTGTTGAATTTTTTTATGACAACGTTATGGTTACATTCCTTTCTAGTGATTATCCGTAACTTTAAAAATGTGTTTGCTCATGCAAATATTAGTATAAAACTCACAAAATAATAACAGTTTGTAATAAAGGATACACTTACACCGTGTTGTTTTAAATCTTTAAGTTTAAACTATAATAAATGTTGGCTTTACATGGCATAGTAGTGGAATATCATTAATACTCAAACTTTAAATGTAGTTTTTCCTCTTTGAAGACAAACAATTTTTACATTGTAATTATTTAATTATTCAATTTTTTGAATAGTGAAGTCCACCTTTTTCAATATTATAAATTATTTGTTTACAAAACTTTGGATTTCCGAAATACTAAGGATTTTCTACTCTAGGAATAGAATAACTTAGCTGTATTTAGCAAAACTTTTGGGAATTTTGGGTTCTCAATGCTCTGCAACTTCGTACTTTATTTGGCCTTTTTAACTTTTTTGATTCGAGCGTCACTGATGAGGCTTTTGTAGACGAAACGCGCGTCTGGCGTACAAAATTTCAATCCTTTTATCTATGATGAGTTTATTTACAACCACTGGGTCGATGCCACTGCTGGTGGAGTTTTTCCCCCGAGGGTATCACCGCAGCCCAGTAGTCAGCACTTCTGTGTTTATATGAATTATCATTGATATTGTCAAAATTATAAATTAATTGATTACAAAACTTTGGAATTCCAAAATACTAAGGATATCTACCCTAGGACTAGAATAACTTAGTTGTATTTGGCAAAACTTCAAGGAATTTTGGGTCTTCAATGCTCTTCAACTTCGTACTTTATTTGGCCTTTTTAACTTTTTTGATTCGAGCGTCACTGATGAGGCTTTTGTAGACGAAACGCGCGTCTGGCGTACACAATTTATGATGAGTTTATTTGTATATATTTGGGCCGCTTTTCATATTTTGTTTTTTAAAGCAGGTACTTTAGTGACATATACACTGTCGCATTATCTGTTCCGTCAGGGATATATTTACACAAAATAGTAACGAAAGAAAGTTGATCTTTTTCATTTAGGTCATGGAATTATGTGATACTCAGGAGAGTGGCAATGGTCTTTAGCGTCAGGCATCAAGCTTCTTCTTTTCACTATAGTTAGTATCAAATCGGATTAATTCAATCCTCGGTAAGGATTTTATTTTGTATATGGCCGATTATCACAAATGGAAAAGGGACGCTGAATATTAAAATTTTGTAATTTGTTATGAGATTTTAGTAATTTAATCTTTTAAGAGAGGCTACATAATTTCTCCAACCAAGGTCAAAACTTGTAGTTGACAATACACAATAATTATTCAAACTTACGAATATCTAAAAAATCAGACTTTAAGTCAATCTGTTTATCATATACAATCTATGATAAAATATAGGTGGATAACATCTTTTAAAAACATGACAAACATATAAAAAAAATACTGACTTCTTTTAAACTGAGTTTTACTGTGCGTATTGCTATGTGTTTCTTTATTCTACATTGGCTAGAGGTATAGGGGAGGGTTGAGATCTCACAAAACATGTTTAACCCCGCCGCATTTTTGTACCTGTCCCAAGTCAGGGGCCTCTGGCCTTTGTTAGCCTTGTATGTTTTTTTTAAATTTTAGTTCCTTTATATGTTTTGGAGTTTAGTGTGACGTCCATTTTCACTGAACCAGTACACAATTTTATTTAGGGTCAGCTGAGGACCACCTCCGGGTGCGGGATTTTCTCGCTGCGTTGAAAACCCATTGGTGGCCTTCGGCTGTTATCTGCTCTTCGGTCGGGTTGTTGTCTCTTTGACATATTCCCAATTTCCATTCTCAATTTTATCCAGTACTAACTCAGTTTTATATTGGACAGTAAACAATATCATACAAAATTATAAGGTACATTACAAATTAATAAAATGCTTTTAACAATACAAATATAAAATACAATGTATCTATTTTCTACAACTGAAATGAATCATTTTTTAAATATCAATATTGAATCTTAAATAAAGGATAATATTGATTGGGCCTGACAAGTCTTGAGGAAAAATTGTATTTGATGTACATGCCATTGTAGAATCAAAACTGGCCTCATTGATCTAAATCATTGTTAAATAAAGTCTCAGCAAAACAAAACTATTTTTTGTTTATTGCTTTTTGCGTACATAAAAGGGTGTGGAGGGGGTTGTGAAAGGTATTTTTCTCATCAAAATAAGAAAATCCTAAATGGGTCTCAGTTAAAAATGTAATAAAGGTCGTTACCAAAAATAAGAACCACATATTAAATTCAGATATTATTAACTGTATTTTTTATATTATATAAGGCATGGAAGTTTCACGAATATTTGCCTTAAAACTTTAGTTCCATTGCCCAACAATAAAATCAGAAGTATCATTGTCAAGAGGACTTTGTATCCTATCTAAAGCTATATATCATAATATAACGATGCATCAAAGATTTATCTTTTCTAAGCTCTTACTAATAATTATATTTTCAGAAATTTTGATACGATTAAGACTTTTACTTCAATTAGTACAGAACTTAACTTTGACTATTTGTTTCCTTTTTTTATGATATAAAGGGTCTTTAAGTAAAGCCAAACATTGAAAGTCATTTGTTTCAAAAGCTGGAAATACAGAAAAGATATGAAAGGAAATCTGGCTGAACACGAGCCAGTTTTGAGACAACAACAGATCTGGAAAAGGCCTTTGATTAAACTATCAAGTCATATTTATACATTTTATTTTATCTGTACCATAAAACGAAAAATGCACGCAGTTGTCTATTTTCTTTATCGTTGGTTCTATCTCATCAAACTATTCTATTAGATTAAAATTAATCGACATGTAATAAAAATAGTAATCGAAAATAACATCAAATTTTGTTGTTGTAATCGATTAAATTACGTTTTCATGTAATGACATGCAAAAATAATATACAAATAATACATAGTATGGTAGAGGTGAGTTAACATTGGTACAGTATGTGATACAATATGAAAATTTAAAAAAAAAAAAAAAAAAAAAAAACAACATGGTAATGTGGTCAAGCCAGGAGGACCCATTTTCTCGTTAATCATTTTAATTTGTCTATACAGTCTTTTCAGATGAGATATTTTCTTTGTGTCAAAAAATTTTCTGAAATTTTTTTTTACATTTGAGTGACATGAAAAATATGGGGGTAAATATATATTTTTTCGTTTTTCAGTGCAGGACATGATAAAATATAATGAGATTCGTCTCCTATCGCTGATCTGTCGCAAAGTGTGCATTTTCTCTCTGATCTTTCTACATTTGTCCGTCGACCTCTTTCGATTGATAAATTGTGATTTGGTGTTATAACATCTTTATTAGGAAGTATTTGTAAATAATCTTTCTTGGCGATTTGATAATTCAAAACATTTTGGGGTGATTTGAATTTCCGAAAGGCATGTTTGCTTGAATTGATCTGTGAGTCGAAGTTTTACCTCTGCAATTAACCATTTTTGGTAATTACCATTCTGAGGCAAGAAAATATTTGAGAAACCGTATTTATTTAATATGCCATTTACATTTTTCACCCAATTTGTTTCTTGGTTGTTAGTCGTGTAATAGTGAAGTGCTGAACTGTAAGTTATGCTGGACAGCTTATCAGTGTTAGAAAATAGGTGACACCAATAATAAATCAATCTAGCTTTAATTGAAATGTTATATGGGTGACGTCCCGTTTCCCCATGAACAATTAGGTTCGGAGTACTTGTTTTCATATGGAGAAGATGTTTCAAGAATATCAAATGGACTTTTTCAATTATATCATTTTCCCCATAGCCCATACTTCGCACCCGTAAAGGAGGACGGGCTTCACAATTTTATCAAAAAGATCTATTTGACATTTAATTGACAGATTATGTATTCTGCCTTTCTTTAGTACACTGTACATAGTTTAAGTTGCATTTTCGGCTAGTTTTTCTTGGTTTGCGCGAAGGAGCCTGACATGTTCAGAACCACTCCCAAATAGTTAAAATCTTTTACTATTTTGACTTATTTGTTATTAAAATTAAATGCAAATTACTTGTTGTCGTCCCTTTGAGGAATCGAGAATTTTTATTTTAGCTACGTTTACTTTAAGCTTCCACACTTTACAGTATGTGTGAAAATGATTGAGTTGTTTTTGAAGATCATCTTTTGACTCCGCATGTAAAACAGTATCGTCTGCATATAGCAAAACAAACAATTTTAGGTATGTGGATGGACAGTTTTCGAGGTCATCTGAGATACTTTTAAGGCCATTTATTTCCTGCCTTGATATGAAATCCACTACGTCGTTAATATATATTGAAAATAAAAGAGGCGACAGATTTTCTTCTGTCGCACTCCTATTGTACACGGAAAATAATCTGATGGCTGTCCGTAATATATTATTCTATTTATATTTAGCATTTTAGATTTTACATTGTCAATAGTTAAACTTTGCCATAGACCGCATCTCTAGACAGTAGCAAAGGCCTTAACAAAGTCAATGAAGGCACAGAACAGATTCTTCTTTCTGTTTCTTAGTAATTCGAACAGTACAGACAGTGTAGCGTAAATTAGTTATCCATATTTGAAAAGTTTTAACGGAATTCACATTGATTTGGCCGGGTAAATAATAGAAAACTCATCGGATAATTTGTTAAGTCTCTCATTCAATATTGAAGTGAATAATTTTCCGAAGCAGCTAAGTGCTGTTATCGGTCTGTAATTATTTGGATCAAGTTTATCTCCTTTTTGTTTGTATATACATTGTAGGATATATATTTCATGAGACCCCCGTGTCCGGTATATGATCCGAGTCAAATATCATACTGAGAAGCCGCGCAAGTACGTGTAACAACCGATCTGATGACGCCTTGATAATACTAGTTGAATATTTTGTCGTCTCCGCTTGCTTTATCACTTTTTTTTAGTTTTAAGATACATTTCTGTATTTCATTCGCGGTTATTTCAGAATTTGATATATTGTTCATATCAATGTCTTGTTCACTTAACGGAAAGTCATCTTCGATTTCATTGTTTTTATTACACGAGTTTAAATTTTTAAAGTAGTCATATGTGATTTGGAATATCTGCGAATGGCGACTTTGTTCCCCTGTATAAGATTTTTCAGTACTCTTTCCGATTTTATTTGTTTTGAGGGATTTCAATTTCTCTCTTGTAATTTTCTGTATTCAGCGATACTTTTGCTAAGTAGATATAAGAAGATGTGGTATGAGTGCCAATGAGACAACTCTCCATCTAAGTCAAAATTTATAAAAGTAAACCATTATAGGTCAAAGTACGGTCTTCAACACGAAGCCTTGGCTCACACCGAACAGCAAGCTATGAAAAACAATTCAAACGGGAAAACCAACGGTCTAATCTATATAAAAAACGAGAAACGAGAAACACTTATGAACCACATCAACAAACGACAACTACTGAACATCAGATTCCTAAGTGTTCTTTTATCTGATTTCTCACTTTCTTTCTTACTTTCAAAATTTTAAACAGTTTGATGGTTGCGAAAGAGTTGTTTACATTTACTAAGTTTACGTTTTGGTAATCTACATTCGGCATTGTACCATTCTTTGTTAAACGGATTGTCACGTTTATGTTTACTTTTTGGGAATTCAGGGACGGTCCCAAATGTTTGCTTTGTAGCTTGAGTTAACAATTCTTTTTTAGCAAGGACAGTAGAATCTACAAAATTTGATTCTATTGCATTTATTTGCACATTTTGAAGATTTTCCTCTTTTTTCAGATAATTTTTCGGAGTCAATGTAATCAGTGAATTCAACTTTTCTATCTTTATCCCATTTCTTTATTTTTATTTCTTGTTTAGCTTTATTTTCAGTGTTATTTTTGCAAATACTTGTAACATTTTACCCATGTATAAATGCTAATGTAACTTCTATAGGACAGTGGCTGTCGTAGTATAAGCAGCTGAAATCGAGTACATTAGAGCTGTTATCAGTTTTAGAAAATTCGCATTACTGACAAAGTAATCAACCACCGAAGCATAATGACATGTAAGTTATCCTAACACATTATCTCCTATACGTCCGTTTACAATAAAGAGGTTATAAAATTTACATAGATATACAAGTAGTCTACCGTAAAAATGTGTGTTTTACCAGGTTCAACCCACCATTTTTTCTTAAAATGTCCTGTACCAAGTCAGGAAAATGGCCATTATTATATTATAGTTCGTTTCTGTGTGTGTTGCATTTTAGTGTCGAGTTTCTGTTGTGTCGTTATTCTCCTCTTATATTTGATGTGTTTCCCTCAGTTTTAGTTTGTAACCCGGATTTCTTTTTTTCTCAATCGATTTATGAATTTCGAATAGCGGTATACTACTGTTGCCTTTATTTTCTGGTTTTATTTCTGTTTGTTGGATATTTGCATCAGTTAAAGTATTTTTTTTTCATTTATAGATATTTGAAGTTTCATTTACTTCTGTATTTTCGGGATAAAAAACTGCCAAATCACGGTTTGTTCCTATGCGGCTATTAAAATCTCCTGTAAGGCAGATGCAATTAAGGAATATGTCGAGAAGTTCACTTTAGATTTCGCGAAAAGTGTCCGGGTACTATACTTAGAGTTTTCCAGTGGGATATAAATTGAACCGAACAGAACGTCCCCATCTGCTTTTGAAGAAATTTTAAACCAGACGACATAGTTACAATCCAATTTTTGTAAATCTATATGGTTTCGTACTTTTTCTGTATAACCTTCAACTATTCCCCCAGATTTTCTATTTACCAATGTGGATCTATTTTTCATTTCAAAAATAAAACCTGGCACAGAGATTTCATCACAATTATCGGTTTTGGTTTCCTGAAAACAAACAATATCATATCTGTAAACGAGGTCTATAAATTATGGATACTGGTTACAACATTTTATGCCACACAAATTTAGTGATAGACTGTTAAAGAAAGTGTAATTAAAAGATGACTGTTCTTTTGAATTGATTGACGGCCCCTCTTTCCTGTACTATTTCCCTGAATTCCTGGAAGAATTGATTCGTGCTCTTTTGTTTGGTCTGTTGATTTTTTCCCGGCTACTTGATGGTGATGTTCGATTCCTTTCTGAATTTGTCCTAAGTGTTTACCGTCTATAATGAGTTTACCATGCACCATAACTGCCTTTTTTTTTGTTGCTTTGCTCGTTTAAGCTCAGGATACAATTTTCGTCTTCTTTCTTCTTCTTCAAGAGAATATTGCTGATTTATTCAATAAGCTGTCCCTTTCAATTTTGGTCCACCATCTTGCAACATTTAAAGGTCTTTATAATATATAAATGTGACGACTATTCGTCGATGTTTTTGTTTTCTATCACTACTTCCTTTCATTCATAACGATGGATATTTCCAATTTTAATTTCCTTTTCATTTTTAAGTTTGCCATTAATAAAATCTCTTATGATTTCTTCCGGTTTCTCTTCTGTTGTATCGTCAAACCAAGAGAAGAATAGATTGCTAAGGAATATAATCGATTACTCGTGAAGATTTTATCAATTACAATCGATTGCGATTACCGATTACGATTACTCCATCCCTGATTGGTTTCGATTATGAAAATAATCTCCCTTTTAATTTGTGGCCTGGTAATGTTATCTGACAAAGTGTTGTGGTTTAAATAAAAATATAGGCTTGTAACGATACTGCATTTAATGCATAAATTAATTTTACATAAAGATAAACCTTGATAAAGAAAAAGAGAGGCAAAGGATACCAAAGGGACATTCAAACTCATAAGTCGAAAATAAACTGACAACGCCATGACTAAAAAAGAAAAAGAACAAACAGAAAAACACAGATAAAGACAATTTAAAGAAACTATTAATTCATAAATATTTTTTATAGATTTAAGACAAATTACTTGTTCAACTATCTCTCACACATTGTTGTCAATATAGTGGAATTCTATGCGACTGTCATACAAGTGAGAGGTTAAGCTAGATAAAAAAAAACAGGTTTAATCCACAATTTTTCTACATAAGGAAATGCCTGTACCAAATCAGGAATATGACAGTTGTTTTCCATTCATTTGATTTGTTTGAGCTTTTGATTTTGCCATCTGATAAGGGACTTTCCGTTTGGAATTTTCCTTGGAGTTTGGTATTTTTGTTATTTTACTTTTTATATGAAAAACGTTCTATAATGGGAAATGTAAAGCTAAAATAAGTTTTCGAACATAACAAACAAATTAAGTAAATTAGTAGATCTTTAAATTATCATTCTGATGTTTAAAATTGGTTACCTAAAATGATTTACTGGTTCCTTGTAAAATTACTTTTCTTCCATTTAAAAATTGGCTCAAATACTAAAATCTTCTGTCATCTAATTCTAAATAAAGTTCTTGCATGTTGTATTCTGCTTTTTCAACAAAAATATATTACATGTCATGAGTTGAACAGATAATGATAATCCGGTGGTGATTTAATCTGTCCTATTGGTTTGATAAGCTTCTTTGTACTTTCTCTTGCTATGGGGTTATTCTGAAAGCAGAAAATACTTTCTGAAGTTATAAATTAAAGAAAAATAAATGTGAATTAAAAGAGATGTGCGGTTTTTGTCAATGAGAAAACCCAATTACACACTAACCTTAAGACATTTACAGGTCAACACTAATAGTTCTTTCATTTACACCAATTTATGTCTATATGTGAAGTTTCAGAGTTTTAATTTAATCTACTTTTTCATAAAATTATGAAACAAATAATTTTGACTGTATATGTGTGGCAAAACTAATTTATTTATTTTAGCTCTCTTTTTTATATTCTAGCGCAAAAAATGAGAAACTGTGCATTTTTCAATAAATGACAAATGTTTTAAACATCAACTGTATTTCTTTTGCTTTTTATTCAATTAAATATCTTATTATTTCAGAATGTAGGAATGCTTGAAATTCCTCTTTTCGAACGTTGTAATTGCCCACAAACACACGCTAGTGTGCCATTAAATAACATTGTAACGCACTTGCTACAACTGGAATAACAGTTCAGAGGCATTCACATTCTATGGCCAATATTTTTGTTTTATTAAATAGAGTTATAGAATTTAAGTGATATCATTGCTTGCTTTTGACTCTGGGAATATTTTGATGTCTGAATCACGACACTTTTCTAGAGCAGGCCATTCAAATGAATCGATATCTGATGTAACCAAATTAAAAAAAACACAGACATAATATTGTGTTGCTATGTTTGCAGTGTCCGTTAGCAAAGTTCTGTGCAACACTAGACCTCAAATCTGTATAAGCATAGAGACGCTTATCTTAATGTATTCCTGTGGGTGTCATTACAACGAACAAGTTTTCATCGTTCATCAGGAACAATGAATATTTTTACACCACACTCCACAAAAGACTGACACAAAACAATTTCGTGTCCAGAAAAAAATAATTAAAAAAAAATATGAGGATGCTCTAAAGAATTATGAAAAAATATGTCATGTGGATATAATTAGCACAATATATCTTCAATTTGCATGATTTAGACAAGATTGTGACACATTAAAGCTTAAACATTAGGTTATATAAATTCTTTTTAAATTTTTTATGGATACACATATCCACCCGCTAGTAGATTATTTTTTATACACGTGCAAGTATTTTAAGTCAGATAAAATAATGAATTCTATTTATTGTATTTTACTTTACTCACCACATGGTATAAGATAAGATCTGCTAAAGTTGCATGTTTGAATTCATATGGATCAGAGAGGAACTGGTATCCGTTCTCTATTCTATCAACCATGTAGTGGCTAAATCCATCTGGTGCTCTATACGATATTACATAACCCCAAACTTTATCACTAAGTCTGACCAAGTAACTTCCTATAGGTTCACTAGTTAACATATTCTCAGCGTCCTTTCTAGGAACAATACCTGAAAGTATATAGACAAAAAATATTTCAGTTTGTCACAGCCATGTGGAATTCATTCTGTCAGTAGAATATTCTTTATATTTTTAGAACCTGCTAGCTAGAAAATATAAGCAAACTTAAAAGAGATTTGTGTAACCGACTGTTGGTTGCTTAGCAGCCAGTTACAAATATGTTATGCATATTCAAGGTGAAATACTCAAACAGGCAGATTCTGCAAAGTGGTATGATTCTGTTGAAAATGGGAAATTTTGACTGCCACTTAAAATGAGTGATGATGGATGTAGGCAGCAATTTTGCCATTCAATAATCCATCAACTGACCCCTAAAGTGGTTGTTACAGATGTTTTTAACTGTGCAGAAAGAGAGCCACTGTACCTATATCGCACAGACAAGATAGACAGAACCTCAGCATGGGTCTTACTGCTTAAGGTAGTAATCCAGATGACCATATCAAAAATGAGTAAACATTTAAGTAGAGGTGTAGACTGGTTCCCTGTCCTTTATCTGTTTTTCTCAGATACCTGTATGTTGCAAGGCAGAGAACCAGCTTAAGTAGATGTGTAACAAACCAACCAATCTTAGTTTAAACCTATTTCTCCTCGTTTTTATAGTTTTGAACATGTGGATATGACTAAGTTATTAGAAAATATTAGCTGGATGCACATTTTTCTAACAAATTAACCCATCTTCACTTAATGATTTACAGATCATATCAATGGTTACAGAAGAAAAAAGTTCATATTGCAAACTATTGAAAATTATACAAATCCTGCACGTGGATAGGGATAAACAGATTATTGTAAATTCCGAAATATGTGTGTACATTTATTAATGCAATGTTAAAAAAAATTAGATTAATTATTGCAATTTTAGGAAATGGTGCATACAAATTATGCTATAGAATTTTTAAAATGAGGTTTTTATTTTTTGCAAAACTTCTAATATTTACAGTACACTTAATTAGGAACTAAATGCAATCTTTTATATGTTTAAAGTGAACTTGTTCTGTTTACCATGAAACCATTCTGCAGGTTCATTAGTTTGGGGATCTAAAACAGCACTCCGTTCTTTTTCTTCATCACGAAACCAAGCAATAACTGCATCTTTGTTTTGAGGTCTAAATGGCCGACTCATCCTTTTATGTTCTTTAACTTTCTTTGCCTTTCTGTAACAAAAATAATACTCATCCATTAAAAGTATATCAAAACTATTTAATGCTTGTTTATCTTAATATGCTACAATCCGGCAATACATATGTTGACATGTCCAGCTACACTATCTGATCTATATATATATATATAAGTCATTTTTATTCAAAGGGAAACTTAAAAACATTTTTGGAGGAAAACAAAAGGCAAAACAATTATTGAATCCAGGTAGGGGGAACTGCAGATACAACAATATCTTTTACAAGTTCAAACAATTAGATGTAAACCAGAGGTGCACATTGAATTTGTAAACAAACATTTTGTAAAAGCCTTATTGAAATCAAGCACGTGGTTGAAGAGAAAATAAAAACATATGTTTTGACCCTACTCTTTGACTGAATAAGTATTGACATTTATAAAGGGGTGTTCAAAAATAGGTCATACCCAATTTTATGAATTTATTGAAATATGATCTCTGGGTTAATAGGAGTTGCGGATGTAATGGACAGACACATACGTATCACTTTAAATCACCCGATTGAGTGAACGTTTATACTTTTTGTATTTATACAATAACAGTCTCAGTTTTAACTTTTGCCTTAACCACTTAGTTCAAAGATAAATAACACCAGTCAGTAAAATGTATATTACAACCAGACCTAGATACTCACCCTATTACTGCTGATAAATATACTGTCTACGTGATTGCGGAAGTTCTATTTACAGATCCTAGACAGAAATTTCCACTTAAATTAACATGAATTATACTTTCATTGATTCTTTGAAGAAGAAAAATCAAACTTTATGGTTACATTTATGACTTAAACATCTTATTATAGAATTTCTACCAAAAGGGTAGACATTGTCAAATTTTATCGTCATTCTGTTCGTCACTATATACAATAAATTAGTATTTTCAAATATATATACAATCTTTTTAGCTCGTCTCGTACCTGAAAAGCATGATACCAAATAACAAATTATTATACGACATTGGATTAATCTTTCAGTTTAGCTCATATATTTAAACAGCATTGTCCTTTTGGTGGATATTTTTTGGCCGTCATACCACATTTCCATATGTTCACATTTGAAATTTCGAAACAATACTAACCAGTAATGTTTTCACTGAATAAACATGCTATGATATGACCGCATAATCAATTATGACAGACACAGAAAAGATCTCAAAACAAACCTTAACAAAGAACAAAATATGAAAATAAATAAAATGTTTAGTACGTTAACTTTTTAATCTTATTTTCACACAAATTGTAATATAAATAATTATATAAATCGTTCATACCTGTCTACTAATGTCTATTAATGTGCAATAAATTGTCAAGTTATCACAATCTAATAGTATCGATTAACAAATATTTACAGTTTTAAAAAGTTGTTTGGAAGATGTCACAGTTAACTTCAATCCTTTTACCAGTCAGTTGCCACAGGAACGAGATGACATTTAACACAAATATATATATATATAAACTAAATACAGTAAGTGCATTTAGTATATGTACTTATCTTTTAAAAATCTAGTCACTAACCCGTGTCAGTTGATACATCAATTAAAAGTACGAGGAAGTTTTTAAATCACATGTATAGTCAGTTATTTTACATTGGTTCGATTATGTAGTTCCTTCTTCAACTTTTTTCTTGCACTTTTTGTTAACTGCCATTTTTATCAAAGAATGCAGCTAAATTTTTAAAGATTGTATGAATAATTTCTGTGAAAAGTCTTATGGAGTGAGTGATAAAGCATATGGAGATTGGTCAACATTTGTAATTTCAGATAATTTTTTTTTAATTGTAAATATTTAAGTATGTTCCTGAAATTAAATGTAAAAGTCTCTTTTCAACAAGAAATTGTGCGACTTAAGGTACATGGGGGAGAAATTGTGGTGCAATTTTTAAAATCTGACAGATTACGATAATGATTCATATAGTAATTAATATATAATTGGATTGAGAGAAGGAGATCCGGATCGTTTGAACAATACTTCAATATTTTACAAAAATTGAAAACAACACTGTATCAATTGCATGCTTCCGAATCGCTTTTCTGGGTTTACCTTCACCAGAAACGGTCAAAGCCGAACATTTGAAAGCCAAGGTTATATGAGAAACGAAACAGTTAAAGAGCTATATGACCAAAAAGGACCTAAATACATTTGTGGAGAAAATAACTTTAGTTCACTATTTTTAAAGAGACATCATGTACGAGATGAATATATTATATGATAGTAAAAAATATCACCTTTTTGCTATTCAACTTCTTCTTTTAGCCAAAGAGAAAACTTGTGGGTATGACATTTAGTTTCTATCAATTTCATTATACTGCAACAAAAAAATCCGACAGAAAATTATCGCCAATTTAAATTGGCTATTTGTGTAAACGTAACATTAGAGTTTTCATCTAGTTAGTTTTCCTTTCTTGAAAACCAATTATTACCAGCATCAAAGGGGAAACATAACTGTTGCAATGAGTGTATACTGATCGTGTGTTTTTTCCGCATGAATTGATCAGAGTATATCGAGTATACCTTTTTTTAAAGTACTGACTACTGGACTGATGATAATCTCGCGGACAGAGAGTCCACCAGCAGACCAAGCTGTAAAAAATAATAACAACACGTTATAAATATCATGCGTCCGAAGCGCTTTTCTGGATTTACCTTCATGAGGAATGCTGAAAGCCGAATATTTGAAATCCAAGGATGCATGAGAACCGAAACATTTGAAGAGCTATATGACCAAAATGGACCTAAAAAATGGCCAAATATATCACAGGTCAACTTTGCCTGAGGGAGTTGAAACCTTTAGTTTCTTTATAATTTCAAGATTATAAACGCACAATTTTAGAAACGTTTGAACTGACAATAACACATCTTCATAAAAAAACCCACATAACTTAGTTGATGAAAATTGTTTTTTTTTACTTTGGTTATTATTTTCTGTTCTGAACATAATTTACCATGATCTCGCAGTCTTATAAGGTACAATAAAAATCACGGGATCCTTCAAAAGCGGTCATTGTCATTAGAACTGAAAATAGAGGAGTCATTTTGTTCCATATTATTTCATGAATGTTTCTACATAAACATATTGATTGATTGATTGATTTGTGTTTAACGCCCCTTTCAACACTATGTGCTATTTCGAGGAAGCCGGAGTGCCCGGAGAGAACCACCGACCTTCGAATTAAAACATCTTATATTCAGTAAAATATATGTAAAATTACAATATGTTGTTAATAAGTTTCCATGGGAGATAACCTAAAACATTATTCTTATGAAAATAGAAGACTTTTCGAAAGAAAAAATGATTATCTCCCATGGAAACTTTCTAACAACGTATTGTAATTTCACACATATTTTACTGAATATAAAATGTTTTAATTCAAATGATGTCTGATTCTTATGAATAAAGAAGACTTTTCGAAAGAAAAATTGTATGAAACCTTAGTTTGGACATTTTTATAGCAATTCAAAATTTCTATCTATCACCTTTAGCATGACAATAACAATAAAATTTCTATACAAACTGTTAGACTGATTTTTCATAATAACATTGAAGTGGAATTAGAGTCTTATAGGATTGTAAGTATGCTTTATTTTATCACTTTGCACATTCACGACTTGACTGTGGTTTTCTACAGCAGTTTGTTCAAATTTCTGACCAGTTGAACAGTTTGGTTTTATAAAACAAATTGCAATTTGGCCAGAATTTTGAATAAAGGAGGGACGAAAGATACCAGAGGGACAGTCAAACTCATAGATCGAAAACAACCTGACAACGCCATGGCCAAAAATAAAAAGACAAACATACAAATAATAGTACAGATGACACAACATAGAAAACTAAAGACTAAGCAACACGAACCCCACCAAAAACTGGGGGTGATCTCAGGTGCTCCGGAAGGGTAAGCAGATCCTGCTCCACATGTGGCACCCGTCGTGTTGCTCATGTTATTACAAATCCGGTAAATAGTCTAATTCGGTAGGTATCATTCGTGAAACGGGAAGGGTGTTATAGTTACGACACAAGGAACATATCCGATATCATCTGTGAAACGGTTATTCCATAACGGTCAACCAACTCGTGATGGCGTCCGTAAAATTTACGAAGGGATGATTTCAAATTCACCATTTGGAACTCTTGGTTTAATAGCTTCCTTGTCAGCAGAATAAGTTACAATAGGTGGAGAGCAACACTAACAGTCAAGTCACAGTAAGACTTCAATTGAATTGCTAGTACATAGCTATTGACTGAAGATATCTATGATTTTCAAATTTAGATTTACGATCTGATATCATCAACCAATATTTCGAAAAAAGAACATCCATTAAAATAATTTCAGTTTAACATGGAATGTTATGGAAAGTGTTCATCTATGACGTTTTAACAACAGAACGTTGATTGGACAGTGATTATGACGAAATGCCTATATAAATTTAAAATAAGGAGATGTGGAAGTATTGCCAATGAGACAACTGTTCAACTGAGTCCAAATGACGTAGATAATATCTTAACTTTTTTTTTCAACCAAGACTGATTTTGATTATGTTTTCATACATCATGATCAGTGTCTGTAGAATGAAAAACATTTACCTACAATACCTTCAATGCAAATTAATATCTATGAACTTTATTATCTTAGTAGTCACTATCATTTACAAAAATATACAAGGCAACTCAAGAAAAGCTTTTATTTTCATGTTAAAATTTTTGATGAACTCTAAAGAAAATAGGTTCAGAATTTGTTGGAAATAAATCTCAGAAAAGCTTTAAATATTGCTACCAAGTCGAAAATCAAGCCAGAGATTTAATACTTTTTTTCAAAATGAGTTTTGGTTGAAATACGAGGCGTTATATTTTTAATATTTTAATATATACAAATTTGTTTTGAAGAATTGACTTTCAGTATTTCCTCAGATTTCAAAGTTATAATTATTAAAATCCTCAATGTCAAAATATAGTGATCCTTTCACTTCCGACCAAACTACTGATTGATTCAATAGATATAGACACATTTTAAAATACAAATGTGTTATTGGTGGTTGTGCGTTTCTTTAGTTGTGCAGTATATACATATTTAATGATCTTTTTACACAGGTAATATGGAAATACTATTTTTTCTATAAAGACCATTTAAAGATGTAGTGCGTAATTTAAATGATTACTCGGAACCTAAATGATACTTTAATGTAATGTTCTTTTAACTTCCGTTTGGTGCTAGATTATGACTGAATGGTATTTGGAAAAAAGTGATAGGTAGGAGTGTTTTGTTCTTGATATTTTGTTAATACTACAGAAAAATTTGCAATACTAATTCAACATAAACCAAAAAATTTGTGTGAGAAATGGTAGGATAACATACTAAAACGAAAGTAAAACTCATGGAAAATTTGCATGTTCAATTGTTTTGAAATTAATGTTACATTGTTTGATGATAACATTAACGGTAACAATGTTTTTGCACCAGATTCGCATTTCGACAATTAATGTCTCTTCAGTAATGCTCGAGGCCAAAATATTTGAAAATCCAAAGCTTATTAAAAAGATGAAGAGCTATAAACCAAAAAGGAAAAAAAAGTATAGCCAACGCCGGGCAAAGAATCAGAGCTTTGCATGAGGGAGATATATTCCTTAATTTTAAACAAGTTCCAAAATTTTGTAACAGCAAATTTGAATAACACAAAATCCATATATTTATGCAAGTACATTATAAGATACAATGATAGTCGTTCAGGAAAAATCATTATAAAAGATATTTATTGTCTTTTGTAAAGAATACAATGGAATTTTATACAATATCGGTGTCGAAGAACCTTTTATGGTCACCATCATGAATTGTCTGACCATGTTTAAAAAATCAGTGGCGACCTACTTCCTATAGATGTCACCTGATCCTGACCCTAAAGTCAAAATTGACACAAATTTTACGCTAACGTTGGGTTTGCCTAGATCCAGAATATTACAAATTACAGGTAATGACAGATGTGTTTTTTAAACGCTTTGACACTTCAGAAAAACTAAAAAAAAGATACGGTTACTTTTAGTTCTTTTAACTTTAGAGCAAAAAGTCATAGAGACACGAAAGGTTGATAGTTCAATTTAACCTTAAAAAAACTACACAGATACCGTAAAAGATAGGGAGAATCTATAAAGTGGAAAATGTTCCACACGACAAGACAAATCAAATGAGTCATTGGGAGTGAAACTTTAACTTTTTTTTTGCGTCTGAAAGATATAAAGGATATGGCCACCAGGTTATCCCTGTCCCGTCATTTGATGTTGTTCAAAAATCATAACCAATGGTTTGATCCCACTCTTAACCATATGATTGTTCTTGTTTCTCATATTAAGACGAATTAAATAATAATAAGGATATCCATCGGAGTAATACTCGCCCCTTCCTTCTAATTTTGAAAGAGATTCCTATCCATAAACCCGTTATCTGTTGTTTCTTGTGTCAAAAAGAATTGAATAATATATTGGATGATTCCCCAGGTCTATTACCTGTCTTAACTATTATTGTTTTACAATCTTCAAAAATCTTTAAAATTTTTTTCAATAT